ATCACCTTACGCTCGTTGGTTTGGTGCGCCTGTGTCAACTCCTTGTGTCAACTCTTCGTCTACGAGCCGTGTGACCACGACAAGCCGCCCATCCAATGGCTCGGTTGTGCTTTCGCAGAGCAGTGCTCACCGTGTGGCGATTCCAGACGAGGAAGACGGCGACGACCATCTCTCGAGCGCCGGGAAAACCCGCTCTGATGTTTACCTGTATTACGATGTAAGTCCTCTCGTATTTGTTTATCCAATATCATGAGTCCCAAACTGACTCATTGTATTTGACTTCCAACGTTTTCAGGATCCCAAGGCATCGCCTGACGTGGCCAACGGCGACGATTCAAAATGGTATTCGTGCCTCCACTGCCCGTACGTATCATTCCTTTTGTTATTGACAAGTCGAACGCAGCTGACCTTGTTCTTGAACAGGATGGATGTTCAGATCACCGGCCGTCCCAATTTGGGCCTCCACAAACATCGGCGCAAGTGCCCAGGTTTGCCGGACGCCTGGATGAATCGGCAGCCGGGAAGTATTCCTCCTAACGAGGACCCAGTGCTTGCAGCCGAAAGGCACAAGCAGCTTAGGACGTTATTAGTTGGTGCGGTCGTCAGCAAGAACCTCCCTTTCTCGATTTTTGAAGGCGACTTGATGCAGGCGGCGTTGCGCGCTATATGCCCTGGATTCCGATTTCCTGGTCAAATGACCATCAAGCACCGTGTCCGGGTAGTGTTCGCTCGTCGACGAGCGCGCACGACTTCCCTTTCTGCCTCAAAGGGAGTTGGTGTGCGCTTGTCGACTAGCAAAGCCTACACAGACACGGTGAAGGCCGACTCCGACGCGCTCTTCTTGGATCTCGAGAGAAAGCTGATTGCCGAGATAGCCCGGGTACCGGGGTCAATCTCGACGGCGACTGACTGCTGGACTTCGGCGGATTTTGCTCACACCTACATAGCGATTAATGGGTTTTTTTTTAACTCTCAAGGTTTATTCTGTCGCCGTCTACTGGCTTTCAAGGTACGTTTTTTTTCCTGATTCATTGTATATGAGACTAACATATGTATTTCCTTTTGACAGACGCTTTCTGGCAATCACACCGGCGAAAACTTGGCAGGTGTGTATTGGGAGGCACTGGAACACGTAGGAGCCTTACGAAATCACTTCTCAGTGACCGGAGACAACGCCTCGTCGAACCGGTCCATGGTACGGCTTCTTGGAGAACGATACAAACATCTAGGTATTCATTGGCCATTTGAATCACGGTTCCATGGCTGCATGTGCCACGTGATCAACCTGGTGGCCAAAGATTTCCTCGAGGGCATGGGAGAATTAACGGACGCTGATATAGCCGCTTTTGAGACTTCGGGTTTGGCCGAATCGCGAGAGACCTTCGAGCCTGACGAGTTACCGATGACGAATGATGACCCTCAGGTTTCAACTCAGGGATCCCTTTTGGCTCTTGATCAAGCCTCTATGGACGCGCACGGGCCGACCCAGGACGATTTTGATAATCTCGATATTGATTTCCCTCAGGAGCCTTTAACGCAGACTTTTACTGAAACCGAGCCCGGCGCAACGGCGTCTCACCCCAAAAAGAAGACGACAGTGGTCAGCCGTATCAGAGCCTTGGATACTCACATACGCAAAAGTCCTCTAGAGCTCGAATGCTATATTATGATTCGAGACAGTGTCCAAGACCCCAAGCTCCTTCCTCTTAGCTGTCCTACAACCCGATGGAACTATTTTTATTACGTTGTAAGTATACAATTCTCGATTTCAATCCCTAAGTATTTAATTCTCGTTTTCTTCAAATCGTTGAAACAAGTGTGATACTTGTGATACTAACGATTTGGTTACTTTTTGGAATCATAGGTCCAACGTACTCTAGCGCTCAAGAAGTCAATCCAACTCTACACTACATCGGATCCCAAACGCGCCAAATATGCCATTTCTCAATCTGACTGGGGCTTGATCGAGTACATGCGGCCTATACTCGAAATGTTTGAGTCCGCGACTCAACTTTTTCAATCAAACGAACCTACCAAGCAATGGGTCCTGCCAACTACGTGGGCATTACAGAAGGTTCTCAGGAAACACCAGAATGTCCCGGGCGCTTGGGGTCGCGCTTGCAAACGCGCCGAAGATAAGCTGGTGAAGTACATGGATCGCGAAGAATCCAATGTACAGACCTTGGTTGCAACTTTACTCGACCCGTATAATCGAGACACGGTTTTTCGTGGTCAAGAAGATGTGGAAGCGCAAGCCAAGAAGTGCCTTCGCGAAGAATACGATCTGTGGAAGCCCATCCCGACCGAAAACCCGCGTGACAAAGCTCCCCCTCCCGTTGCTGACCGCCGCCCGGTGGCGACCAAACTCCAGGCAATCTACTCGTTGTTGGGCAGCCACTCCCATACCCCAATCAACGATGTCAGCCACAAAACCGACGAAGTGTACCGATACTGTTCCGGAAAGGAACCCCTTCTACCAGGCGAGACGGTTGGACAATACTGGACGGTAAGCCAACTTTTTTTTTCATGTTGGGCCACATTTGACCTTATCTGACCTTGCTGTATATTTCAGCGGATGGCCAAACCAGGCGCGCTGCCAACTTTATCAGAAATCGCACTCCAACACCTCACCATCCCAGCTTCAGGTGCCTCGGTCGAGCGAGTGTTTTTTATATCGGGAAACATAGCAGTCCCGTCCAGAGGGCGTCTAAACACTGACGTCATATGTCACCTTGTCCTGATCAGGCACTGGCTCACCAATGATGACGCTTCGATGGACTTAGAAGACTAAGGGTGTTTCATTTCATGTCCTTTCAAATCGATGGTAAAATCTCACGTGATTTTGCCAGGCATTTAAATCCAATATGGCTCTTTTATTTCTTTAGTTCAACTGCCTTTATCTAAATAAATACAGATGTTTTCCGAGATACAATTTTGAATTTTATACATGTCATGTTGTTCTTTCTTTCTAAAAACTTGTCTTTAGAAAAAATGGAATCAGTCACTTCTCATGATTGAGAAAATTTGAAATTATTACTTAGTGTTTGATGTGTCCTACAACCACATTTGTGGGTCAGATGAGTAAAAATGAGCCTAATCTCGACCTCTTCTTTGGGGCCGAAAATGCCGCCAAAGGCAGAGTACTCGTATGAGTTGTGAGTACTTGCCCACTGAAGAAATGTGAGTCTACTCACTCTGAGCAGAAACCCACGTGAGTCTCGCATTTTGGTGAGTCGGGTATTTTCCCTAGGACTCGGAGGAGGGACCATAGTGAGTCCAGTACTCAAGGCCACCTAAAGATCCGTGACAGCTAGAGTATTGTACTCTAACTGTCACTGGCTCGGACGGTACTCAAAATGAGTTCCTCGGACCCCGGGTCAGGATTGTGAGCGTGAGTTGCTCACACCTGCATCCCTGCCGCAACCCTTTGATTCGAATGCTCTCTTCATTGATTCATACCAGGCTTGCCGCTTCAATAGAAAATGTCAGATGGATTGAAGGAAGTTGAAAGCTATTTTGTATCATTCAGCAAGGTTCAATAAACTTCATATTGTTAATGATCTGAGAACTTGATCATCCGATTGCAAAGCCATGTCCAACTTATCTATCTAGATTCTAGATGCAATACGAGAAAATGATTATCTATCTAGATTCTAGATTGATTTGGAAGTCATCATCTGTTACACACGATAGAGGTTCTCTTATTACTTACATGATTACACACATGAGATCATGAGGCTGAGTAAGAATATCTGAATGATGAGTAAAATAAGATGGCAAGTTGTTGAAACGTGATCATAAAGTCAGTTCAAAAGGAAGAGAATAGAATTTGAATAAGAATGAACTGGTTTGTTTGGTTATTTTTAGTATGAACGAATGTAAACGATCGAATTTAAGTTTGTTGAACTAGTAGACTTTTTTTTGACAATTGAAGGATGGTAAGTTTTTATTACGCAAGTTCTAAGATTCTATTGAAATGCATTAGAGTTAAATCAAATTCAAATCGAGGTTGATGGTATGTATGTAATAGTCTACAAATTGTCTTTTGATTGAGATGAGTCATGGACCGATTGTAGTTTGATCGTTCCAGAGTTCTTAAAACCAATTAGCTAGAGTTCCTTATCATTCTCCGTTAAAAAACCAGACTGCTATATCTCATTTACTATTAAAGATTGATTTCAGTTGAAGTTAAAAAGGTAAAGGTACAAAGAGTAGAAGAAGGCTGAGTTAGAATTGATCGATTTGATTATTAATATTCTTGGTGATTTTTGTTTGATTAGTTGATTGGATTGGATTGGATTGATTACATAATCCAAGATGAAGAAAAGCAAATTAAAAGTAAAAAACCAAATCAGACCATCTACTTCACCATCTATTCCAAATTGTTCTAGTTCGACTCATCGTCTTTCTTCTTCTGTTTCCTCTATTCATATCACTACTAACAATCAACCTCCACCGATTCCTAGTACTACTACTCTGACTACTACTACCACTAACCAGAACTATCATCATCATTTAAAAGTTACATTTCAAACTATCAACTTTGACTTTTTATCGATTCTCAAATCGATCTCTAAATCTTCTTCTCATCAATCTCGTCATAAATTCAATCCACTCATTCAATTCTTATCTACTTTATCATTAATCGATCGATCATCTTCTTCATCTCCATCGAAACCAAGTCAACTTATCAAACCACGTAAGTACTCCCATCCCATCATCTTCTCATTCTACACTTTCTCATTCTCATTCTCTTGGCTTTCTTTTCTACAGTAGACACTCTATTAAACTTGATAGACTCTATTCAACCTCATCTCAAATCGAACATCGATCGATCCCTCATCAAAGCTATCGGTGATTTACTTTATTCTTTACAAATCATTTGTTATTCAAATCTATCTCAATCTCACTTTCATCTAGTCAACCTTTGGAAACAAATTCATCATCATTCTTCACATATCATTCAACTTGTTGAAGAAATCAATCTATTACAACCAAAGATGTTACATCCTTATCAACAAATCCCTAATCGTCCTACTACCTTTGATGAAAAATATCAAGGTGATTTGGATAACATCTTATCGGCTATCGATCGACTCTATACTAATTCACCTCAGCTATCTAATCAAAGAGCTCAACTTAAACTTCCAAGTAAAGATTTGCTCTCACTTGATTTGGTGATCTCTTCAATCGAACGTACAGCCGCTCGTAGATTAGACACTCAAAGAGCTTCACTTCCTACCTTGGTATCACAAGGTGTGGCTGCCATGGGATGGTGTGTCGAATCACGTTCTTCAACCTTGGAAGAAGAAGGTCCAGCCGAACTCGAATTACTCGATAGGTTGGAAAGAGCGGGCAGTCGTCGATATACCAATCAATGTTCTCCAATCCCACCTATCGAGCAACAACCTTCGTTGATGACACTCTACACTCAATCTATGCGTGAAAATGACGCTATGGAAGCTATTCTCAGCAAAACAGGTGAAGGCAGAATGTCTAATCAAGATGCGCTCTTGAGAAAGAATCGATTATCGATTCCAATCAGTCTAGCCACCTCTACTTTAACACGTTCTGGTGTAGAGCTTGACACGGCTACTATACATGATGATGATATGACGAGTGATAAGATTGGATTATTACAAGGAGGTCAATTCCCTGCTCCAACTCCAACTCATCGATCTCAATCCATGCCTAACATCTTTAAAAAGAACAAGACCCATACAACACCTCCTCAGAAACGTAGTTTGTTTGGAAAGAAGTCATCTAACCCACCTAACTCTACCTCTTCTAATCCTCGAGATTCAGCAGAAGACCCGTTTCGGATGCCCTCTCTGATCGATTATCCATTAGCGAATTTCTTGAACGATATCTCCAATCAGGATCTTGATACTTCTAACGATCATGTCACAAGCCCCGGTAAGCTTTCTTTGAATCTTCCTTTCCTTTTCGTTAGGTGACTTGTCCCATGATCCATCAACTGACCTTGGCCTACTATCTGGAGATGTACAGCAGGAGGATCTCATGATCGAGAAACCGGATCAAATTCGTTGGGCAACCGAAGTAGCTCTAAGAATCGGGACCACGAACGTTTGGCTATGGCGACATGATGGGAGGATGATTTTGAATGAGAGTATTGAATATCGACTTGATGGATCTGATTTTATTGAATTTACCGTTAAAGAAGTGCATTTTCCAGATGAAGTGTTTAGAGTTTTGTTACCTGTTAAGATTAAAGCCGAAAAAGAACGAAAGGAAGGATTGATTGTGTTTTGGAATGAAGTAGAAGATTTGAATAAAGAGAGTGAGATGGAGAGAGTTAAAGAAGAATTTTATGGAGTTCAAGATTGGAATCGAAACAAACCAGATCGGATTGATTGTAGAAGGTGTGGAAATGGATTGAAAGAGGATTTAAAGAAGATTGAAAAATATTTAGGTTTACCTTCTGAGGGGTGGGAAGATTTTGTGGAGTATTGGATTTGTCATGAGACGGATGATCATGGAGGGTATTTTGATGGAAAGAAGAAGAAAGGAGATTGGAAACGAGATGTGAGGGAGAATGAAGGATTTGTAGGCGATAAGTTTGTAGAGTTGAAGGAAGATTTAAGAGAAGCCCAAGGAGGAGGAAGAGGAGGCTTGGGATGGAAAGTGAAGGAACAGGTGTGTTTGTGTAAATTTAATTTGGTTGTCTCGTCTGTTTTTTATTGGATTATTAGATTCTTTTCAATTTTATTTTGTGTTGTTCAAAAGCAAAAGAAATCAAATGAACCTCATTATCCTTCAAGTTTGTATCGGATTCAAGCAATCGACGCAATCATTCTCGATTCCTATAATTTTTCATGTTCATATCTTGATTGGATTTATCATAAAGGAACTCGAACCTCTCTCATCTATCCATCCCCCAAAGGGTTCTTTTTTTCTTCTTTCATTTCATTTTATTTTATCTCTTCTTCTTATCTCTCTCTCTCGTTTTCTCTTTCTCTTCCTTCCCATCCTCTATTCTCTTTTGTCATTTATCGATTTCTTTTTCTTTGTTTTAAATATTCAGGGCAACAGATACTTAACTTCATTTGTTTTTTGCAAGAATGTTTTATTTTATCTTGGAAGATTTGACCAGTCCTGTTCCACAGAGAGAGTTCAAGCGAAAGAGGAAGACTTGACAAAAGAGAGAGACGCAAGCAAGGAGAATCCCTTTTTTGGTTTCAATTGAGTGTAGTTTGACTGATACAATGATCCCAGCATGACTTTTTTTCATTTTTTCCACTATTCATTTCCTCGAGAACAACCTTTGATTGATAAAAATTTAAATCATCATCAGGGTATGATTGAGAATACATTTTTATCATACATTTTATTTTATAGGTTTTTTTGATTCTTTCAATTTAGTACCTACCTGTTTATCATGATACTGATGTTTGACATTTGATTTTAATTGTTTTCCAAAAAAACAGAAACAAGTTGAAAATGAAAATCAAGATTGGAATCGAATCGAATGTAAAAACTGTGAAGAGAATTTAGGTATCATCAATCCAAAGACTAATACGATTAAATTTAATAAATTTGCTATTGAACCTAAACCATGGAAAGAATTATTTGATTGGATATCGATTTTAAGAGATGAGATCTTTAGATTAAAAGAAACGAATGGATCTAGTCGGTTTGTGGTTAAATCTGATGATCATGATCAATCGGGGATTTCATTTGGTGTAAGTCTTTTTTTTTGTTGATTTGTTGGATTGGAAGGTTTGGGATTGATGTTATTGGGGATTTTTTTTTTGCGTTAGATTTGGGTGTTTAATCCGGTGGTCTTGGTTTCGAATTATTTAATGGATTCAATAACTGGGAAAGAAAGTAAATCGTTGAAAGTTATGAAAGTTTTTTATCAGATTGATCAAGATTTTAAACTTAATCAGTTAAGCCTTTTCCTTCCCTTCCAAAAAAAACTCAATCCCTTATTAACATTTTTTGGGATTTTGGGGGGGAATTTTGGTATAGATGGAATGAAGATGAAGAAATCGTTTTACCTGCTTGGGGAATTGGGTTGGTTTTGAAAAAGTTGATGGAATGGAATGGGTTTGAAGGATTGGATGAACGGTACAAGGTTTTTAATCAATTTAAAATTGGATATTTATAAAAATATTTGAATGTTTATGGTTTTATTCTACTTGGATTGAAAGAGAATTGAAGTTGAAGTTGTCGTGAGATTGGATGGTTCCCTCGTAAGAGCATGAGCAGCGGGGCTTGTGAAATTGGCCCACTTGGGTGTGTTTGTTCAACTCTGCCACCAAATGTGAGGGCCTACTATGTAAGAAGACCAAGATGAGAAGAATGATAGGATGTTAAGTTTCGTATTGTTGAATGTTACAAAGATGATAGAGTAAGCAATGGAGAAAAACTTCTATCAAATATTGACCTTATGTTTGCCCCTACAAAGCCAATTACATTCTAAATCCAATCCTTGAGACAATCTCGCACAATTAAGCATTCTCTTTTGAAAGAAATATCACTAGCAAATCATGCTTTGGCATTGAAAGCATTTCAGCTCTTAACATGTAACTCCTGATGCACAGTTCTTGAGTACTCCCCCATCACTGCACTTTGGTGTGCCGCTGGAACACAAAGGCTTGCCTTTGGTTCAGTAAGAAGACCAAGATGAGAAGATTGATAGGATGTTAAGTTTTGTATTGTGGATGTTGGAAAGATGACAGAAAGAGGAATACAAGTAATGAACTATAACTAGTAGTAGATGATTTGTTGAGCTCAAAGAAAATAATAAGGTATATCATTCCAATCTTGAGCAAAAAGTTTTGATGAAATCATCAACTTATGTTTGCCACTCACTGTAAAGCCAATTATTGTATTCTTAATCCAATGCTTGCGGTGAAAAACATGGATTATTGAGCATTCTGTTTTGAAAGACATATCACTAGAAAACCACTTTGGCATTGAAAGGATTCCAGCTTACAGCTCTTAGAGCACCCACTTATATGGTGGGCGTGTTTTATCGTAAATTTTGTGGTCCCGACCGCAAAATTTAATCATGCGTGTAACAACTAAATCAGTTACCGCATGAAATTCACTATGGAGTGATTTACTGTGTGAGTTACCAATGATAAATCACCTTGAATCAAGTGATCCCACAGTGGCAAAATCACAACTTGAAAGATTGTATCTATTTCAAATAATACATCCAAAAAAAAACATCTCGATATCTACTTCAATGAAACGAGCAATCAATGCTCTTTTGAAGTCTTCAAATGACGATGAAGAGCAACAAGAATATGAGCAAATAGCCTTTGACTTCCTCTTTGACGAGTCTCCTTCAACCTCCCCAGACTTGTATCGAGACCGTGTCGGACACGGTGAACAACTGTACAACCATACTTTGCACCTAATGCCACATACAAATCAAAGTCTGTTTGTTGATTTTGAATGAGCAAATCAAGTGTGAGATGTCAAAGTGGTGATGAATCAATGAAGTGTGGGATTTGCAAAGTCACAAAAAAAAGTGACGGTTGAGATTTGAAGCATCAAATCTTAAGATAAATCATGAATCAAGCTTGTGTAAAGTTAGACAAGCTTGATTCATGATTTGATGCAGTCGTAGGGACCACATGTCTAAGACAGGTCCATAGTGGACCTGTATAAGTTTTAGCGGTAAACTTACGATAAAACCGCTGTTTACCGCACCCATAGTGGGTGCTCTTAACATGTAACTCCTGATGCACAGTTCTTGAGTACTCCACCATTGCTGCACTTTGGTGTGCCGCTTGAACACCAAGGCTTGCCTTTGGTACATTGTGCAGCAACTTTTCCACACTTGGGTATCTTAGTACTATTATTTATTATTTTTTTGGGTGGACGGCTTCCTTTGGCAATGGGTGTGATGATTGCAATGAGGCCAAAAAAGACCATAAGGAGTTTGAGATACTGTTGAGAGATCTACAGCCCAAAAAAAACATGAAAACTTCATGTTAACATTTTCACATCACCAAGAAATTATTTTCTGTCACTTCAAAAACTGACCATATTATTATGTTTTGGATTTGATAAGGTCTGTTCTGAGGATACTAGTTCAAGTGATGATCTTTTTTGTGAGGAAACAAAAGGGTTTCAGAAGGAACAAGTAGGTCAGGTAAGTAATTGAGTGTAAGAAGTGAAAAGACAAGGGACTAATGACAAAATGTAGGTGTAGGTTTTGATAAGATGAACAAGCTCCAGCCTCAGTTGAGTTAAAGCAATATCAGATGATGATTGATGATCACAGAGCGTTTGAGCTTCAAACAGACCCCTTTTATAGGCAAATGTAAGAGCTTCAGAGACGGTGGGTGAATCCTCATACTCATCTCTGTAGTGACCAGGCTTCCAACTTACTTTGGTCACACTGGGAGACAGAGACTTACCCTCTTAATGACTTGTGGGGACGGTTGCATGTTTTCATACTCATGAGAGCCCGCATTGGGAGTTGATAGACATGCATCGAGGGGATTAAAGTTGCTCGGCTCGGATCGTTCTTGAATATTTAACGACCCAGTCGGCCTTGTTGTCTTCATGATGTATGTATGTAAGTGCTGATGACAAGCAACTGTTCAACATGGGGAGTTTGTTGCATAGACGCTTGACTGAGGAGCATGCTTCATTTCCGCAATCACAAAGGCTATCAGTCTGGGGTGGTAGTCTTGGAGCAATTCTCCTGGTAACCTCACTATGAACTATGTGTAAAATCAATTCTGTTAGAAATCAAAAACCTTTAGGCATATGTATCAAGAAGCTTAGGGCCCGTTCGGCTGGAACCCAAAAACAGTTTTTGGTCAAAAATACCACCAAAGCCAAAAACCGTTTTTGGTAAGCTAAGGTCAAAACAGTTTTTGAGTTTTGTCAAAAACACCAGCGTTTGGGAACTTCATGTGATCAAAAACAAAAACGGTTTTTGATCAAAAACTCTTTGATTTTGAAAAACAGCCTCAAGGCTGTTTTTCAGGCCAAGAAAAGTATTTGCCCCTCTATTGTGATTTTTTGATGACCTTTTTGGTTGGTTGTTTGGTACATAATTCTAGAAACTGAATTTCACATTTTTCAATCTACCCCTTGAAAAAGGGGCAGATTGAAAAAGTGTTTTTGTGTCACAATTTTTGGCTAAACCAGCCAAATGGGCCCTTATTTGTCTTATTCCAATTTATTTATTTTCACTTGTCCTTTTTTGAACTTTGTCTTGAAGAGTTTAATTTCTGGCCTTGGAGAATTGTCTGCAGTCAAAGGAAGTAATGATTAGTATCTTGTTTTCTGCACTGCCACACATCTTGCACAATGGAGAGTTTGCGAGTTTTCTCCTGTAAAGGCAATCACTGGGAGGTCTGAAAGCTGGTCTAAGTTATGCAATGATGGCCGTGCTGCCTTTTTCAAGATCTTTTTTGGTTTAGTTGTGAAATGTGTTTTTGCCCAGCTTGAATGTGAAACATTTTGGGTCAAAGATTTCTTTTGTACAATCTCTTTTATTTCAAACCTTTGCAAACTTATCAAGAGACATGAACCAGAAATTAGTCATACAAACAAAATCCTCAATGACTTACCATCTGAAGACAGACAGTCAATCGGAAATCACCAATAGATCAGTAGAGCAATTTCTGTTGCACTTCACTGCTTATAAACAAGATGATTGGGTGAACCTGTTACCAATGATTAAATATTGCCATTCAGGGCAAACTATGGATTTAATCTAAGTGTTTCAGGAAGCCTGGTCCAAGATCAATATTTCCCAGAAGTCAAAGAAAGATTTAATCAATTGAATCATATTCATGAGGAAGTCACGGAAGAAATGAAAGAAGTTCAAGACACCATGAGTGGAAGTTACAACAGGAAACTGCCAGCATCAAACAGGTTCCCAGATGACAACATGAGTCTTAGAAACCACATTCCCCTTCTGTTCCTTTTAAACAGTTTCATGAATATTCTCCAATGAGCCATTGTGATATATGTAGTCAATTTTATCAAGTTTGGAATGCTTGTCTCAATCTGAACAAAGTGACAGAATGTTTCACATGTGATTTGCTTGTCCAGATCAGTATATAACTGAGCAGAGCTGTATTTAGCTCATAGCTAAGAATTTCCTCAACTGTTTGCATGTATGTGGCATATGCTTCATGGCTCAGATGCGCAGTGCTATGACCCATTTTACTCCCAATCATGTTCTTATCCTACAACTTGCTCTCACCAAGGAGGATATTTAATGCTGGCAGTGAGAAGGTCCAAGCTTTTCCACAGTGCAGGAGGTTGGACTGGAAGCAGCACCACCGGTGCTCCGCTATATCAACAAAAATCACAAGCGGAGCAATTTGGCACTATGAAGAAATTTCAGGCTCAAAAGTGCCTAAGGGCGCGGTTGGGACGTGTTTTTTTCCTCAAGCCTTTTTCATTACAGATGTATCATATTGGACGGCAGAGTGAGGATACAAGAAACCAACAAAGTTAAAAAACAAAAGCACACGCAAATATTGACAAAGAAAGAAAAATAAAAGAAACTTGGAAATAAGAGATTGTTTTATAGTTGTTTGAACCCTTTATTGGATTGTAAATGGTAATAAAAATCAGAGGGGGGATTTGACAAAAGGAGACAGAACAAAACTCAAACACAGGCTCAAATATTGACAAAGAAAGAATGACAAAAGAAAAATGAAGTTGTAGAATCAAGCCTTTTTTTGTTAAGATGCACTACTTCTTGGCCTTTGACATCTGTGCTTGAAAGGCTTGAACATAGGCCCAAGCATTAGTGTGTTTACCTGATAATGCAATACCCCCCTTCAACCATTCACGCACACTGACAAGCTTGCTGATAATTTTTGCCGTTAAGGAAGCGCAACTGGGGACCACAATGTTGACTGCCAAAGAAAAGGTCCTCTTGCATGGGCAAGAGGTACCTGATACTGCAAGCTAATCACAAGTGGTGCTTGCAAGGACTGGAAATTCCTTCTGATGCTCCTATAGGTTGCAAAACAAATCATCAGCAACGAGATTGAGTGGATAATAGAGTGAGAATGAATGTAAAAGCTCACATTCCACCAATTGATCTCACTCTGGCCTGGTTGCATCAAATGAGCGCCATCTATGTACTCTTCATATTCATCCTTGCATTGATTGGCTGCTGACTGAGACGTGACTTGGGCAGTAGCAACATCAAAAGTGGAAGAATGGTTGATAGGTGAGGCAGGAGAAGATGGTGGTTGAGAGAGGGGTTCAGCCAATTCCACAGGATCTGCCAGCCATTCACACAGGGCATCTTCAAAGGCATACCAAAAACCCATTTTGGCTTGTGGAGCCTTGTCTGGATAGTTCAGGTCAAAAAAATGTAGCCAAAATTTTGGATTAAGAATGGTTGATAAGACTACAACATCTGAGGCAGCTGCCTCAGATTGATACCCCTCAAGCTTCTTCTGCATGACTTGAAGCATGTTCTTCAGGTCTGTGTCTTCACAGGAAGCTTCAAGCTTATTGAGGTCTAAGATGATTCACATGTATTCAGAAAGCAGAATGCAGCCAGTAGGCCCAGTTCCCTTCATTTGTTTGGTAGCGTAGAGAAATATCTGAGACAATATTGGCTTGGGCCAGCAAGAATATTCAAGAGAAAAGATGAAACAGTAATGAAAACAATTAAAACCTACCTGCAGAATTCCAACCAAGGTTTTGATTGAATCCCATTCCTTGGGAGCGATACATAAACCTTGGAAGTATTGAACCTTTTGATCAGCAAGGAGTATTGCATTGACAACCTGCAAATAGACATAGAACAGTTGGTCAATGTGAGATAATGGAGGAAATGTTGAGGTGGATGTTGGAACTTACATCATGTGCATCACTCAAACGCTTGAGGTAATCCACATCAATGTTCCAACAAATTCCCCATCCAGAGATGGGCAAGTGTCCCTTATAATCCATCTGCTTGGCCTTCGCCATGAACTCCTGGTGTCTTGCTGAGCTTTGTGTACATAAACCATTGAATTTCTTTGCCTAAATTAGAATAATATCAATGTCAACAACTTCTTGTTTGATTGGAAAAAATTGAAAGACTTACTTTACAAACTGCATGAGCAACATCAGAAAGATGAAATTCATCATCATCATCATCAGCTCCACAATCAGAAAGGTTGTCATCAAGGCCACTTTTGACTTTTCTTGCACCATCAATTGATTCATTCTTGTCTTGATCATCTTCAGAGGAATCAAAGTCAAGATCATCATTGCCATTGTTCAATGTAACAGTAGGGGTTGGTAAAGTCACTCCAGGTTGAGTTGTTGGCTTGATGTGCCCAAAACTCATTCCAAGAGATTTCAGTCCGGCTTTGACCACAAGACCAATCTTGTGGGTATAACACTTCACCTGATGAGTGCTTGAGTCCCAATCCACTGATTCATTAGCATCCCTGAACATAGAAGAGAGCTCATGGTCCATAGTGTTGTTTGCACTACCCAAGTCTGTTGTTTGAGCTAACATGTGAAAGAAGTCATTGATGTTAGCTCAGATGGAAGGCAAGGATAATCAAAAATGAACAAAATAAAAAAGATAAAATGAAATAAACAAGAATGATAAGAATGACTTATCTTTGTATGTAGCTTGTTTGAGATCAAGAACCTTCCAACAGGTTGAGCAAGGAGTCGGCCGACATGATGCCAGGCAACCACCCTTGGTGGGGTGGTCCAAACATCATCAACAAGACCGAACTTGCTCTTATTTGCCTATAAAAAAAGATCCGAATCAGTCATAATCAGTATCACTATAAGAAAGTTTGAAGAAATGTAGATTGAAGACTCACCTTGATCATCTCAATGACAGAATAGGAGAGCTTGGTGTAAATCCCCTTGGCTGTCTCAGAAGCCCAAGTGGTGCCTCTGAGAGTGGCAGACTGATTTGATCACTTGAAAGCCGCTTGAAGGGGTGGATTGTTGAGTTGTGAACAAGGTAGAGCATGTCTAAGGAGCCAGATAACTAAAATGGTGTTGAGAAGATTGATGCTGAATGAAGACTGAGATAGGAAATAGTTGAGTGTGGCTTTGGAGTACTTGAACCACATTGTCTTGTTGCTGCTTCCAGGTGCAAGGCAGCTCATGACCCTCTCTGATTGCCAGGTGCTGTTTAAGGCATGCAGGTTGATCCTTGGCTCTGTATTGGTGAATGTAAAGGTTGTAATGGCTACACTTGCCTTGGGTAAAGTACTCACGGCAGTATTTAGACCTACACCTACAAGGATCATATCCTGTCTAGATGAGATATCAAAGTCAGTAAGTTTCCAATACTCATGTGTATTGGAAAAGAAGACATATAGATAGATATACACAGATAGAAATACACATACCTTGCCTTTGACATGAACAGGTGGCTTGTAGTAGTCCAACAGTTTAGCAACACGGCCAAGGTGGGCATGTCTGACTGCTGGAGTGTCCTTGCCTTCATCTGCCAAGTCTTGGTGTACATCCACACCGGTGGGCACCTTGTAATCCTGCACAAGAAGTAGAATAGTCAACATTGGATTTGAGGAATCAGAGTTAGAAAAGGTGTGAGAAGTGAAAGGGAAATCAAGAGAAGGAGATGAAAGAAGATTCTTAAATCACTTACTTGAAGTACTGTGCTTCTTTTTTCTTTTTCACAAGGGCCAGCCAAGCTCGTGATGAATCAGAGACATTACAAGAAATCATACTTTTACATTTTCCTTTTCCAACCGTGCAACTAGTTACCTTGGAGGGTTTTTTCTTGAGATGTGGACAAACAGAAACTGCACTGCCCGCATAGTTGTCTTGGCAACAAACATCCAAGGAGTCCTCGGAGGCCCCCCCAGGAAATGGGCACCCAAGGAATGCCTCCAAGGCAAAATTTGGCTGTTGCTGTTGCCTTGGATTGGATCCTTGGATAGAGCTTCCCTCGGGGTCAAAATCCGAGGCCTCCTTGGATTTTCACATCCGAGGTAAATTTGCTGGCTGTGCTGGGACCAATGGCAATACCAAGACAATAGAGGATTGATCTGATATGTCTTCATATTCTTCATCTTCAAGATCTTCAGTACCATGACTAAACAATTGATCAGGCGATTGATCACAACCAGGTGATTGTTCACAACCGGGAGATTGATCACGACTGGGCAATTGATCACAACTGTTCAAGTGAATAGAAAGGTGTGAGTCTTGTGGCTGGATCACAAAGCCTGGTTGAGGGTGGACTGGGCTAGGAGTGAACAGGTAGATGACAGAGAGGGTGGAACAAGGGTGTTGGAACACCTGACTTGAAGAGTCATCTGGGTGTAGTTTCTACTGTTGGTAGACTTTGACATAATGAAATGATAACTATGAGTTTTTTGTAATATAAGTGTTTTATCTATATCAAAGGAAATAATCAATAGGATAGGTGATCAGCAAAGATAATCACTGGCAATTGGCAAACAGGATGTAGGGAATTGGATGGATGGGAGTGAAGACCATAGTGTATTGGGATCCAACTGAAGCGCCAGATGGTGGTATGAAGGTGATTTGGGTAGTTGGATGGTGGTATGAAAGTGATTTGGGTAGTTGGATGGTGGTATGGAGGGTAGTTGAGTAAATCCAATTGGCAGGTACCCACTGAATATAATTTTGTGCTCTGAGGTGTACTAGGTGCACGTGGACGCCCTGTCACTATGCGCTATGAAGCGCCAGGGCAACACATAGCACAGCGCAGTTTTGCTATACAGTGCAATGGCGGAAACTGCTACATGTCACATGGTTTCACCCTAGCTATAGCACAGGTCAGGCCCCGCTATGGGACCAAGCCCATATCCCGAGCGGGGCGGGCGCACTGCTTCCGCTATCTCGAGCGGAGTGCTGGTGGTGTTGCTGGTTAGGACCATTTTGTTGGGTCAACAAAGTTCAGCAGCCAGAAACACCAGTTGATCAGCCATGCCTGTCAAAATGTGTAAAACTTTGCAACTTGAAACCCCCTATTATCTTTTGGATGCTTAATTCAGTATCTGATTAAAGTTGATCTTCCTTTGAAAATCTGTAAACTTGAGAAATTACATCTGAGCTTATGTGATTGTGACCTACTGTGACAAAGGTTTTGAAAGACCCAAAGACAAATATGAAAAAACCACAGGAATGATATGGAGATGTAGCTTGACCACACCCTCAAAAGTCACTTTCCAAAGGTCCCACAAAAGAAACATGGGTCCTTTGGATCCCCCAATTTGAAAAACCACAAACACTAACTGGATTTTTTGTCATCAAGCCTTCTAACAGGTTTCTCAGCTCAACCTTCTATTTCTCCTCTCCCTTCATTTAATTTCTATTATATATAAGGTGTTAATGAAGAAATGACTAAATCTTATCTACATATAATCAATCTTGCAAACTATTAAAAAAAATCAAAAACCTAACACCTAAAACTAACCCCAAATCCTTTTGGTATATTGTAATATATTTCACCCTTGTAAAAATATCAATTAAAAAAAGAGAACCCAAAAAAGAGAAATCAAAAAAAGAGAAATCAAAAAAAGATATAAATGTTTAAGAATAATCAACTCAAAAGAAGAAAAAAAATGATTGTTCATATAAGATTTACTCTGCTTTGTATACAAAAATTTGGGGAAAAAAAAACTTCAAATTGATTAAATGTGTATTGTAGATATTTTATTGGGTAAATCATTTTATAGAATCAAAAAAAACGATCGAAAAAAACTTTTATCTAAACTTGAATTGATTCTTCTTGTTTAATTAAGTATTATTCTTTAGATAATCCGGCTTCATAGATATCTACAATACTAGGTGCTAAACTAATTCGACTCTTTCCTTCTCTTGTTCCACTTATCGACCTTGAACTTTTCGATTCTCTTTCACGTGAACCAGTTGAAACCTACGTGATTTTTTCATAAGCCAGTTGATATTCAGTACTTGAATCGTTTTTTCAGATTGGAGATGACAAAGAATCTGGGTGATTTGGGAAACAAGCAATCACTTTAGTTTTCTTTCCATCTATCCGAGATTGAAGTTTAGAGTCCACATGAGCCAATGATCCAGAAATCTAAAACCACCCAATCCATCCCGCACAACAATCAAATCAGGATATTCAAAGTGTATGATTCAAAGTGAATTTTGAAGCAAAAAACATTAAACCACTCACGTCCTTTACTTCCGGTCTTTCCTGGTTCTCAATTTCTTGAGTTCCTTTTCCTACGATAGAATTATTTCTTGAAGATGATGAAGAATGATGAAAATAATCTGACAAAACTTCATCAATCAATCTAGATCTACGATCCGGTGACATAGGCGGTCTTGTACCCGATGTTCTTTGTCGATCTGTCATCTGTTCACTATATCTCTTGATCAAGTCTCTTCTAGGTGAAGCAGGTACTTGATAAAACTAAAAAAGGAAACATAACCCATAGAAAGATCAGTTGAAATTGCAAAGAAAATCTTCAATGTTCCTCGACTTACCAAATCTGCTTGATCGATGTATTTATCAAGATCAATGAGAGAATGTGATGATTCGCTCTGACTCGATGATCCGGAAAGTTCTGTCATAGTCCTGACTCTTCTACGAGGATGTCTACCAGATAGACCCAAAAGAGATTCGCCTGAATGGCTAGCAGGTTGAGCTGACGTAGATTGAGATAGAGCAATTGCATGATTCTCTGTTATGGGCGATTCGGGAATGTGTAAACTCTCTGTATCTCCGCCAAATTCCTTATGGTTGTCACTTCCATCATCATCAGAGGTGACCATGGTGCTGTCCATCAAGTTCTTTGATAAAAGTTGAGTTGATAAAGGTGAAGCTTGACTGGAACGCGGTGAAGATGGTCTAGTTCGTAAAACAGAACCGGTTCCCATGGGTCCTCGCGTGATAAGTGAAGTAGTGCGAGAGCTACCACCTGAATGACGCCATGGATTGATGAAAATTGATTCAGAACCTACACCAGAGGCAAGATGATCTGGCGAAGAAAGTCGTCGGATGCGTTCGAGGGAGACCAGTGCCGATGAAAGGTTAGGGGTGATGATGATCGGACTAGGTCGGGTGGGATTAGTGGCTGTTGTTGGACGTGTTGGGGTTAGAGGAGGTGCCTCGTAAGATGAGTCCACCTGGTTTGGGAGCGCTGGGAGTGACGTGTTGATGAGCGAAGGCCCATGAGAACGGGGAGCTGATCGAGATCCAGATGATGATGTTGAATGAGCTAATTCAGATCGACCGCTCCTGAAACTTTTGCTTCGCTTAGTACTCAGACTGCCTGGGGTATTCTTGGGGGAAGTTCGTCTACGAGGGGGTGGGGCTAAAGGATTGAAGGACTCTGATGGAGGAGGAACAACCAATGGCAAGGAGTACAGCTTTGCGTCGGCGGTGTTGTGCAAAGTAGGGGGTGGTAAATTGTGAGCTCTAAGATCAACAGGTGCAGTGTGTGCTATTGGATCACCTGGTATCTCTCCGTCCAGCGGAGCTAGTGTAGGATCACAAAGTGAATCACTCTGAAGAGAGCTATGAGCATTGAAAGTCGAATTGGAAGGTAAGGTAAGACCTTGGTAGGGTCTACATGGGGTGAACAAAGCATTCCAATCCGTCAATTCACTTTAGATAGAGTTTGTCAAGATAGCTACATAGACTCACTTTTCAAATTCTCCACTTTGATCATCCAAGTTTTTACTCAGAGCATGCATCACAGGTTTTTTTAGATCAGTCATCTGTGGAGTCTCTTCGGCTACACCTGTCTGTATGTTTGTAGTTTGCAGCTTGGATTTTGATGATGGGCGTCGCTGAAAAAAGGATTGAAAGGCTTCGGTACTCCGATTTGAAAACCAAGAATTATTTGCAGGTACCAGAACTTCACCCCCAGCAGCTCGTGAGTGCGAAGTTGGGTCGGAGTCAATCGAGGGTAATCTATAGGAAGGTGAATGTTTGAGTTGTTTTGCAGAAATGTTGTGGGGAGCATTAGCAGGTAAAGGCGGCAAGACATTATCGGCAGTCGCAGGACGACGTCGACGTAGTCCCGGTACGGATCGACTTCGTCTGACACTTTTGAGAGGCTGTGGTCCAACATCCGCAGAAGCAGGTTCTGAGATTCGAGGTATCAGTTGATATTTCACCTGATTAAATGCATTGAATAAACGTCGATCATTAATGACTTACCTGGCTGTAAAAGGGCTGCATTGGTGTGGGCCCTTCCCCGTCCAATTACGGGTTGAGGGCAACAGATAAATATGCCATCTTGACCACGACCCACCTCTGGACTCAACGCTCGGTCAATCTCAGGGGGACAAGGTAATGTGGAATGAGATGGTGGTTTGACTGTAGAATCGTGAACACGGGCTTCTGCACGTGATGCTACCCGAGAACGTGACGAAGATGGTCTCTTCAAGTATGACCGGACCGTGAGCGGATGTGAGATCGAGCTCCGTCTTGGGGTTGAATGGAGCACCGAAAAGGGAGATAGTGACGATTTTCTTGGATTAGGAGCGGCAGGTTGCGATGAAGGCTGGTCTGGTGGTGATGGTGCTGATTGAGCTCGATTCCGCAATGAAAAGGAGCGGGAGAGTGGAGGACGGGGAATAGGGGAATGATCAGAGCGCATATGGATTGGAGCGGATGGTCTACGACGTGAATGAGGATTTTGACGTTGTTGACGAAGCAGATCAGCTGGCGAGCTCGAAAAGACTGAAGTACAGAATAGACTAGGGTTACAGGACGCTTCTGCTTCGGCTCGCCATAGCTCCCTCTCCAAACGAAGCCTGTAGATCTCATCCCAAGCACGTTGAGCATGAGTTCGCTCGGCTTGAGCAGCAGCAGCAGCTCTTTGTTTGAGCGCTTCCAGCGACTGTGAAATACGAGGGTTTGTAACACTCCTGGTGAGCTTGCGAGGATGAGATGGAGCCTCGATCGCCAATTCTTCCATCAAATCGTTGGGGCGTTTGGTACCCGAAGAGGTAGCAGGCCTTGAGAGAGGAGTGGTCACAAATCGAGGTTTAGGGTCTGCATACTTGCCATAAAACCCACCGAGGGTCTCGAAGGACAGCACTCGAAGTCTGACATACGTTGAGTCATCTTGTGACGGTATCAGAGCATCTGAGCCTGCTGGAGACTCCGCTTGACTGGGAATATGAGCATGCTGAGCACTTGCGGAGCGTGCGTGACCGCGTTTGAAAGATAGATTCGCCCGAGGATCGCTTGCAAGAATACCCATGTTTGAGTGCGATCGAGCGCGCGTTGACACCAAACGAGGGGATGGGGATCTTTTGGGCTGCTTAGCTTTCACAAGATGAGGTAATTTGGCTGCGGAAGGCTGTTGATGCGTTTGGTTCAAGGGTGCGGAGAGAAGACCCGGCTGATTTATTGGTGATGTGTGGCTCGACCAAGGTGTAGATTGGTAATGAAATGGATTGATCAAGGCCGGTTGAGATTGACTTGAATGTAGAGCTTGAGAAGGTTTGATAGATTGATCGTGTGAGGTTGAGATAGGAGCTCGACCAAGAGAAGCAACAAATGAATGAAGATTGCTATGCTCGAGTTGATTGGTTATAGGTTTGAATGATGAAGGATCATGATGCGTTGAATTTGTTGTAGAAATAAATGTTTGGGTATGATTGTTTGGAGAAATGAGACGATCAGTGTGATCAACTTGTTGTGAAGTGCTGAGACTTTGACTGTGATTGCAAGAGTGTCGAATGTTGTGTAATAAAGAATGAGAAGTCTTCTGTGAATGAACTTTAGGATTCAACGGAGATTCACCTGTGCGTATGATATACATAGATACATGTCAGTATATCAAGATAAATTGTACATAAACTGAATGAGAAAGGGAATGTTTTGGATTACCTATCCCACCGGATGAAGATGAAAGTTGAGTATGTTGGGAAGCGCGAATCCGCCTACGAGCTGGGTAATGGATCATGAGCACCGAACGTAGTTTAGGTTGAAGGCAACCAGGGTCTGTAAACAACTTTGAGGTAGAGTTATAAAGGGTATTTGAGAGAAGGGCATGAGGAATGATTGTATGATGATGAAGATGATAAAGATGTGAGTGGGTATCACGAGTGGTAGTGGTGGTAGTAGTGGTTCCAGTGGTAGTAGCGGTGGTAGTGGTAGTAGTAGTAGTGGTGGTAGTAGTCTTAGGAAAACTTTCAGTAGAGAAAGGTTGATGAATATGAAGGAAAGATGAATCAGTTGTGATACAATCAGAAAGTAAATCAGCAGTGGATGAAGTCAAATCAGATTGAGAACTAAACGGTCTACGATTAGGTAATAAAGAATGACGAGAATTAGAAGGTGGTAGAGGGAATGTACCCCAAGAATTATAATTAATTAAATGTTGATTACTTGATCAGATGTTGATGTTGATGTTGATGTTGATGTTGATGTTGATTAGAGAAAGATAATGATAAACTTGAACTTGAAGTTTGTTGTTGTACTTTTTGATTGGTTGATGGTGAAGTGTTTTCATGAAAGTTGAAGTTTCTTTGATGATTTGATGTGAAGTGGTCTGATTGACTATAAATCACTCGATCTTCCTCCTCTAAATCATTCAAGTTCATCTGATTGAATAACTTTAAAAGAACTTTACTTTATCAATCTTACTATTCTCGAATTTAAACTTCAAGATACACACATCTAAGACTTCACTAACCCAAACTTAATTGTCAAAGCAGTCCGGGATTGACAGTTGAGAAAAGTTTATATATAGTGAGATAGGTTGACCTGTACTCTGAAGCCAAAAAAAAGGTCTTGCCCAAAGCTTGTAAACAAAAAAACCAAAAGGATGAGAGCAAAAGATGAGTAATGATTTCTCGACCCTTGAAGTTGATGATTATCAATCGAACAATTGAGATTGAATCAGAAGAATGCAAAGAGAAGACAAGGTTTAATAGAAAACATGAAATCGATGAATTCAGTCCACTTTTCTAATGCGCCACAAACAACAATCAAATGGGGAAAAAAGTAAGTCTCACAGAAAGGATTGGTTTAAAGACGCCTTAAATGCTCTTAATTGACCCTCTGACTTCCTCAATGATCCACAAAATCACAAACAAACAAACCAATAATTCTGAATTCAGTTTCAATGCACCGATGCTGAGAACTTGAGTCTTTAAAAGCGAAATGAATTCGATTAGATGATATGAAGAAAAATCCCGATAGAGATTTATTCAAGGTTATCCGTATGAGTCGATTTGAAGATCGTCCCCAAAAAGTTCAAGATTGAAGTACGATAAGTTTGGAGGTATAGAGGCAGATGAGGGCTAATGACCGTTGTTGCGAGCAAGAACCTGTTGGAAAGTGATCATCTTATGGTAATTGATGAAGGATTTTGATCAAATAAAAAAATCAAATCTTCCATAAAAAGTCTCTTGACCGCTTGTGAGCTCTTCAAAACTTTACATAAATATTGATCAAGATGTCAAAAGTTCATCATATTGTTCTTTTGTCACATTCAGTTTCTAAAATATTTTAAATACATGTCAATTCAAATCAAAACACACAAATCATCCTTTCATCTTTGCGTGATTGATCCGTTCTGTTATAAAGAAAATTGACATGAAGACGAACTTTGTATCCTTTCCAACAGAAAATTCAGTGTTTCATGGAATCTGTGAGCCTCATTGTATTGTGCGGTGAGGCGTGAGTTTTGCATAGTCCTGGAATGTGTCACGAGCTCACGACAGGCTGTCCTGTTCCATGAATGGCGGGTTTCACATAAGTGTTAGGCAAAGCCGCGCTGGCCCTCCGAGGGCTCGCGCGCGTGACATTTCATGAACGGGACACAAAAATAAACAGACACCCCCCTTTTACAGGGGAGGTAGTGGTACAACAATAGCTAGGGACACTACAACAGTCAGAGGACTGGTGGGCCCTCGAGAGACTATCTTGGTCCCGGCAACGTGAGGAAATACAAGGCTTAAGAAAGAAACAAGTGATAACAACGGCCATTGACTTTATACAAACAGATGTCCAAGATATAAAAAGAGACAGTGAAACCAAGAGGAGAGGCAGAGAGACAGACCGAGATTTTTTTTTTTCAAGAAAAACCGTTGAGGCGACACATGGTGCGGGTGGGCGGGAATTTTCAGTGAGCCATTCAATGAAGAACAAACGTGTTCCTATGGCAAACACCTCGTTATGGTGTGCATGGAGCTAGGAAGGTAGTTCCATCCGCGCGACGTGCTGTTTGTGGACGAACTACGGCGTGGATGGAGACTTGAGATCCCTGACGGTGTGTGGAGTAGAAGAGCCCCCCACCGACGCTACAGATGTGAAAGGAGAAAGGACCTGGTGCTGCGGAGCGTCAGGGAGCGTCAGCAATAGTCCTATTGCACACATAACTCAACAGATCATGTCTCCCTTGTTCAACACATCCCCCTCGCTTAATAGAGCATCAAACACGAGGAATGTGTCACGAGCTCACAACAGGCTGTCCTGTTCCATGAATGGCGGGTTTCACATAAGTGTTAGGCGAAGCCGCGCTGGCCCTCCAAGGGCTTGCGCGCGTGACATTATGAACGGGACACAAAAATAAACAGACACCCCCCTTTTACGCCATCCCGCCTAGGAGAGAGGAAACCCTGGGTATGTGTGTAAGAGTGGTGAAGGGGAGGCGTAGACGAGGGAACCGAGAGCAACGAGGAGAAAGGGGGTAGACTGAGAATATACAAAGAAAAAAGGCTCACGCTTCAGAAGACTACCTGTGCCCCAAGATGTCCGTCTATAGACAAGGGATGTGCTCTGGTTGTGGCGAGGCGCAGGATAGGATGTCCCCGTACATAGATTTTGAAGGCCTCAGATGACCATCTGCCCAGGTCCTGAATATGGTCCAGAGGCAGTCCGGCTTGCGCATAGGCCGTGGCACCGCCCGAGCTCATTGAATGTCCAGACTTGTTGGACTCAAAAAAGACGGAAGCGGGCGAGGAATCAAGAGCGCGTTGGGGGCACCCCACCAACCGTCAAAAACAGGGGAGAATCAGGAGAAAACCTGGCGTCTCTTTGCAGGAGGTATTGTGATAATGCCTCAATCGGGCAGGCACCTACAATGGCACATGAAGCCAACACCACCGGGCTGCCCTGAAAGAAGGGGTTGGTTTTGCAGTGCAGAAGCAGGTACTTTGTGAAGCCCCCGCACAGCGAGAACAAAAAGGAGGAACGGAGTATGAACTTCCTGGCATTGCAATAGGCCTTTGTGTCCGGGCAGGTCAGCTTGCCAAGCCGATGAAGGCCGTGAAAACCAGCCAGTAGCATCGCGGTGAAGAGGCAGTCGTCGTAATCAGAGGTTGAAGGGAACAAGACCATGATGTAGCACTTGTCGTACACGGCGGGAGTTGGTTGCTAGACGGACGTCTGGGTAGAGGTGTTCAAAGGCTGCGGTGATTGCAGACAGGTAGCCCTGGATAGAGTTTGGGGCAAGCGGTTGGTTGGTGCGAGCAGATAGTGTGCGGCAGGTGTCTGCAGCATACATGCAGAGGTGGTTGACTGATGGAATTGGGGGCAGTTTTTTGCGGACACAGAACTTTAGGAAGGATGAAACCCCAGAAAGATACACTGATTTTGTTGAGGCAGCTAGGCTACGGGCGGCGTCAGCTTCCGCCAGAAGTGTGAGAAACTGACGCCAAGAAGGTTGGTCATCGGGCATGGCTACCGTTGGTAGCCGCCGGCTGGAAAACGGTTGGGGATTGGGATGGGAAGCAATTGTGCTGTTGGTGCTAGCAGGCGGAAAGTGTTGTCCAGGCCGCGGGACAGGGCATTGGCATACTTATTCTTGAGGCCGGGTAGGTGAGCAACCTTAACGTCAGCGCCCGCGCTGACGATTGACCTGACCAGTTCCCGGAAAATTGGTCAAACCAGCAGGATGGGCGAGTGGGAGAGAAACAAATCATGGACGTTCATCGAATCGGAGCAAATAAAGATGTGTTTTGCTCCAGATTCAAGCCCTAGAGCAATAGCCAGGGCTACAGCGCAGAGCTCCATCCAATAGATGTCTCTAGATGGGGCAGGAACCTTGTGTTTGTACCTGACGTGACTGTTGGGCAGCCATATGCCAAGGCCGGTGTTGTTGGCATCTGTGACATACAGGGCTTTGGCGTCTGCCACCGTCCAAACTGAGGCCTCGAGAAAATGTTGACCGTCCGAAGACTCTATGCAATCCGCCAGCCAACGGAGGTTGCTCTGTACCTCCCGGTTGACGTGGATTGGGGCGAACCGGGAGTACTTGTTGTCGAGCTTGTCCCAGGACGGCTGAAGAGCATGGCGCCCGTAGGGGAAGGCGTTTAGACCTCACAATGCCCAACCGAGCATTGTCTGCCAGGCTCGGAGACAGTGACTGTGGGACGAGGTGAAATGGCGTAGCTCCACCACTAAAGCAGATTCCTTGTCGGGGCTGAGAGAAAATGAAAGAGACGCTGCGTCGACGTAGTGCCCTATAATCTCGAGCTGTGGTCCGGAAGGTTGTTTCTTCCATTCCCAAGGGAGGCGCAGTTGGTCGAACAACAGGAGAAGGCAAGCTTGGTCAAGCGGCATGAGGACGTTTCGGAAGGAGACAAGAGAGCTTGAATGGGCGACACCCCAGGTGTCATCCATAAGATTGTTGATCCTGCTGACTCCCATCTTGTTCACAGCAATCCACAGGACTAAGGAGAAGACTGAACACCAGATTTTTGGTGACGCTGCCGAACCAAAGTTTGCACAGTGGTCAGCGTGATAGAGATTTCCGATCTTGAGTATCTGACAAATCTGCCACTGCAGACACATCGGAAGGTTTCGATATGCCCGGGCCACATCACTCTTCCACAGCACAAGGTACCCTAAGCCCTTCAAGACGTCTAGCATGTACGGGCCGAAGGAAGCCAGAGAATGGTATTGGACCCGTGCCTCTTCTTCATGGACCAGGTTGTTCAAGGAAGGCGAGCCATAGCTCATGTCTGTGCATAGCCAAAGTTTCTTTGAACCTGCTTTCGACGCTAGCAGCAGTGGGGAGACTTTCATCCCCGGCAACAGATGGTAGAAGTGAGGTGAGTACCGCCCCGCGGCCATCTCTTCATCCCTAGTAGCTATCAAGGTGTCCGGGTGCTCGTTGCAGATCGAGTGAATATTGTGGTCGACTATGTCTGAATTGGGAAGGTCACACAAAGGCCAAAATCCGTGAGTTAGGCCCAATAGTACCGAGTCAACAAACAGCCTGTTGGGGTGGTCAGTCAGCAGGTGGCGGGACATTGGCACATTGATAGGTGAGACGATCTTGAAGATCTCCGGGTATTGGCTGAGTGCGTAGGAGGCGCATGGGTCTTCGGCAATGGGAGGTGGGCGCGGTAGAGGACGTGCCATCAGGCTTGAGTTTATGGCGTTCGAATAGCCCTGCGACGATTGCCAATTCCATTCGAGCCCCCTTCTAAAGTGTCTGGTTGCGTAGTTCGCTGACACCGGGTCGGTAAGTGAATTGTTGACTTCGCGCACTACCTTGCTGCACAGGTACTTCAGGGGCAGATCATGCAACCTGGTAATGTTGCTCTGTGAGAAAAAAAGGGCACAGAAGACAAGGGCTTTGTAAGCCATGTGTCTTGTGCAGGATGTGGGCAGATAGTGGTATGTGGTACGGCATCTCTGGCTGGTAAAGGTGGTTGATGCCACGTGAAGGTTGAGAGGTGACAGATCGTGCGGGACTTACTTCGTGTGTGTGTAGCTGAGCATCCATTGATGTCGCAGATGTTGTGGATTTGCCCATTTTTGCATGGGTCGGCGCACCAGCCGCTATTCCAGCTACCACAAATCTGCTGGTTTGTCGGAGTGCCTTTTGCAACTGTTTGGAGGCAACTTAGTCAGTCTTTGGTAGACAAGTGATTGTCGTCACTGGAGTCAAATCTCATTCGATATGAGACACTCACTAGGTTTGATCGCACCGTGCCAAACAGCCTTTGGAGCCTGAGTGCTTGGTGTTTTCCTCCTACTCGGGGTAGGAGGTCTCCTGAGAGGAGCAGCATTTGGTGTGCTAGATGTGGTAGGGTTGCAAACCCAAGGGGCAATGTAAAAGTTGTCAGGTGTGGTTGTTGACCTTGCTGAAAGCAATTCTGGGTCGTTGAAGTCGCAGAGGCACAGTGCAGGGCGTGTTGCAATGAGAATCCTGAGTCTGGCGTCATAATCGATGATTTGTGACCAGTTGCCTTGGTTGGCGAAAACGTTGGCCATTTCCCGGATGTGTTTGAAGTAGGCGATGACATCCAGCTTCGAGTTTGGAAATGCAAAGATGATTGCTTCGGCGATGAGGTCAATGGTGTTGCGCCAGTCTCTTTCTGATGTGAAGAGATGGCGTATAGATTTGCAGGTATCAGTGGGTTTGGGTGCTTTCTTGGATTCGTAATCCAGAGGCCTGAAAACCTTCGCTGCGCAAATGTAGTAGCCGCGGACCAATGAGGGGACAAGAGAGAAGGGGAAGCCAATTGGGTGGTATACGTTTCCGTTGAAGATTTCAACCGACTTTGAGAATCCGATCTCTCTATAGGTCTCGACGTCATCGGCCCATTGTTGGGCTTTTGGTGGGAGTGTGGTGTTGCTTTGCGCGATACCGCGGCTGCATGGTGCCACAAGTTCTGGCTCGTCGTCGCTCGAATCTCCGTCAGATGAGGAAGAAGAAGAGTTGGATGAGGAGTCTTCATCTCTCTTTGATCTTCTGCTTTGTTTTGATTTCCTTTTCTTCTTACCCTTTCTTTTTCCTGACTTGTTTCCCTTGTCTTTAGGTTCGACTTCATTGGGTAGGTTGTCTGGACGGATTTTGGGAGGGTTGTTGGCTTGCTGCCCGCCTTCTCGGCGCAGAGCGTTGGCTTCTGCGGCGCCCGTTTGGCCCAGTCGCCTGTTTGGTTCCGGTAGAGGGGGCAGGTCTCGCTGTTCTTGTTGACCTTCCGGACGTGGTGGTATTGGTGGAGGTGGGGGCTGCTGTTGTTGGTGAGGTGGCCGTCCTGGGGGTGGCTGGTATCTGGGCCTAAAGAATCTGAATTTGTTTCTGGGCAAAACAACTGGGGGAGTGTGCTTGACAGGAATGTCGGGGTGCAGTATGAGACCTCTGATTGCAAAGGTGGGTCGTCCATTTTGCGTGTTGAGTTCTCTCGCTGAGAGGGCGAAGTCTGAGAACCTGGGCAGGAAAAGTGGATTGGTGTATGGCACGATCCTTGCAAACCTGTCTCTAAGTGACCATAGGTCGATGTGTGAACTTCCTCCTTCTTGGATGTATAGTTGTAGCGCCGCTGCAAGTTGTTGTTGTATCTGGTTCGCGTGTGGTTGCATATGACAAGGTGGTGCATTTTCTTTGTTGATCAGGAGGCGCAAGTTCATGATGCTGTACTACTATGAACGTGGTGCTGATGCGTAATAGAGGAGTAGTGTTTAGACTAGGTGGAAAGACAGAGTTCTGCAGCTAGCTACTGAGACGGTATTATTTTTGGAAAATTAGGATGTATAAGATTTGTGATTTCAATTCTTAACTTTGTGGGTTGTTTACAACCGTCTCTGACCTCTTATACTTGTTTCTGTTTGTCTATGAGATACCTTACTTGTCCGTTGTGTGTCTACCTTCGTAGAATAATTCCTTTTTGACATGAGATTCTACTGTCATTACCTTGTCCATGTGAGTATTATTGTATTGTGATAGCTTGATGTTAGAATTTTCAGTGAGCCATTTGATGAAGAACAAACGTGTTCCTATGGCAAACACCTTGTTATGGTGTGCATGGAGCTAGGAAGGTAGTTCCATCCGCGCGATGTGCTGTTTGTGGACAAACTACGGCGTAGATGGAGACTTGAGATCCCTGACGGTGTGTGGAGTAGAAGAGCCCCCCTTTGATGCTACAGATGTGAAAGGAGAAAGGACCTGGTGCTGCGGAGCGTCAGGGAGCGTCAGCAATAGTCCTATTGCACACATAACTCGACAGATCATGTCTCCCTTGTTCAACACATCCCCCTCGCTTACACCGCGAATATAATGTATTTTTCCGAGGTGAAAAATGGTTACATTTATTTCACAAAATGATTAAAAATGCATTAATTCTGCATTAATTCTGCATTATTAATCATTTTGTGCATTAATGTCAATCACTTCTGCATTATTAATCATTTTGTGCATTAATGTCAATCACTTTTCACCTTGGAAAAATACATTATTTTTGCAGTGTTAATAGAGCATCAAACACGACAAGTATTGCAGTGTATTTATGAACAGGTGATTGACGGGTCAGACAGTCACACCCGAATCAATGGTTCCCCATTAAGAACTCCTCCGGTAGCCTCCCGTGCATTGGCAACCTTGCCAAGAGCCAATCGCTGCCAATTGTCAATCATCCATCCACAGAGATATGGATCCAAAGCAATACCCGTTATACATAACAACGCATATGGTCAAGCAGATTCCATGAAAAATCTTTTGCCGGCACCAAATTTACGGAAATCCTTTGTCAAAGACTTTGGTCTGTATGACTTCACTCAGCAAGAAGATGATTCTTGCAGGTGTTAGCCAGCTTCATATCACCATGGTGCTCTACAAACAGTCAAAGTTGTGTACCAATCTGTTTGCACTCAGTAATGGGATATGGTCAAATTGGAATATAGAAATTTCTTTCTACAGACTGCCTCAAAGGTTTATTTGTTATTCAACTTTTTTGGTTCAGGGAGGGTAGGGCTATATAGGTGTGCCATTTTGGCAATGTTGGCAGAGTCAGACCACTTTGGTGGACACCTTTGCCAATATTGTTGACTCCTTGGTTTGTCTCAAGTTGTAAGGTTCTCTATGTTGGAAGTCTTGATCAACAGAGACCATGCACACTTGTTGTGTTGGTGTGATCTTGATGGATCATACCAAAGATCAAAGGCTTCTTTGTCATAGACCTGGAAGTCACTGGTTCATTGACAAACAATCAATCAAAGAACCAGCTTTGGACAACATCTTGAATAGGGATCTCTCAGATCAGAGCTAGAATATTTAAGCTGTGAACAAATTGATTTCTATTCCAAAATCTTCCACTACATCAGACCAATCCATTTGTTAAAGTGACTTCTGTTGCTTCTGATGAGCTTCCTCAACTCTCGGGGCTGGAAAGTTGAAAACCCGCGAATATTCGGGCTGACACCCGGTACCAGTCTCCCGCATACATTCACACTCACACGGTTTGAAAGGCAAGGTGCTTTGGAGCTCTTCATCTTTCAAATCAATTTTTCGAATCAAAAGAAAGCTTACAAAAACAAAATGAGTCACCCGAATCACAGTCATGATCATGGATGTTGTTCTCATCAAGCTGGAGGTATACCCGATGACGAGCATCTTAAACCAGGAGAAGGTACACAAGGTAAGTTTAAAACTTGAGAAGAACCTGATTTGGATCTGGGATTTTATTAATGTCACATCGTGTTATCGGGAATCTCAATTAGACTTTCTTTACTCAAAGGTCAATGATTTTATCATATATATATCAATCAGAAATATGTCTCAAGAAACTTAATTCGAATATTTCCTTGGCTTTAAATAGATTGATCGTGATCAAATCACAAGTTGTAATCTCGATCCAGAAAACCCAGCCAAGAATTGTATAAAACCATGGTCAGATCGAATGGATGATACGATGGTGGGCAGAACTCGTATAACGACATCAAATTCAATTCAACGTTCTTTTTTCGTGTATAATGTGATAACTTTCTAATGAAAGTATAAGGGATTGTTGGCTGTTGATGGGTGGCGGGGGGATTGGGTATAGTTTTCCGAATCGGATACCGATCAACAAATGATTATTAGGATTCCTTTTACTGGTTCTGTTAAATTAAGATCTATCTTAATTCGAGGGATTCCAGGCAATTTTGCTCCTACTCAAGTCAAACTAGTAAGCTAACTATTGTCATATTGTTCTGGATGACATATCATACTAACATCTTATCAATTCTTTGTAGTTTGCAAATGAACCTGGTCTAGACTTTGATACCCTAGAAACATGTACACCTACCCAAGTGCTTGAGATTCCTACAACAGATGAACTAGTAGAGTTCCCAGTACGGTGAGTGATCATTTGCGGTATATCATTTTTCAAGTGAGGAGCTAAAGAAAACTTCTATGACATCAGCGTCGCTAAATTTTCATCAGTGAGCATTTTAAGTTTGTTCATCGATGGTGATTCATCAGGTTCCAAAACACGAGTTTATTTCCTTGGGTTCAAAGGAGAATTTAGCGCAGTAAGTAATCTCAAAGCTACATAGTTGAGCCCAATAGAATTATTGATCTGTGAGTTATTCCTCAACAGCTGTCTCGCAAACCAGTCATAGCCATTTATGAAGCTCAAGCTAATCCCACTGATCATGAGAAGATTAGTGGAATGGATACCCAAATGGGTCGAATGATATGATTATGCCAACAACCTTAAAATCACATTTTGTTGGATATGTAAAGACTTTTCTTCCACTTTGTTTGTATGATCGATTACCACCTTGTTTCCTTTGAGTCCAAACCACATGATCAAGTTATCGTATGTTCCGCATCTATATCATCGCGATAAACTATCTGCCTGACGTCAGGAAAGTCGAATTCCCTTACCATCGTGATCTTATCAGGGAAACTCCACAATGTAAGCGGTCCAAAGCCCGGGGAGCACACGGGAGTTGACAATGCAATCATGACTTAGCCTCACGGCGCCCATTGAAATGACACGTTTCAGTCGTCAACATGTATTGAGTCCGTCAGGCTATGAGAACTTGAACCAACGGGTCTCATCGGATGTGTTGATTAATCATGAGCCCATGCAACCCAGCTTAGCCTGCTAAGCACGACTAGTACAACATGATCTGTTATTGTTATCGTGTGTGGATCTGGGGATATTCAAAGTCAAAGAATCACGAGTTTTTGATTTCCCATGGATTTATGATGAGATTTTTTATCATATCTCGCAGATTTTTCCACTCTGGTTCATTTAGCAGGGTCAGCCACTTCCGACTTTGACCGTTTTCTGTCTCTGCTATGATCACCCGATGCCAATAACGATGCCCCAGGCTGCACACTGAAGAAGAAAAAGAAATGACGTTCTATCACCCACTAGTGCGAAACGATATCACCCGCATATAACTTGAGGAGGATGTAATTTACTTAGCCAAGTCAGTTGCCTCTAAAGCCATTGCTGCCATCGCTACTGTCGTATTGTTTATATCTGTCCTTTGTTTTTCCTGAATTCGATCAGATAAACCTGTAAGTATTTTTGCTGTCGACTCTGCATCACTTATTGTCCGTTCCAAGGTGTGATGGCCGGGTAAGGGACCTTTCCGCCCAGCATATCGCCACACCTGTTTGTCGGTCCGAGCAATGAAAAGTAATCAGTTATATGATTGATTTTTTGGGCTTGCATGATGTATACTAACCATCTTTTGCTCTTCGCTCAAAGTTGAGTGTCTAAAGGCTAATCTACCATTTGGCACATTGGTCTTGTGGATCGCGTTTCCCTCTACACCAGACTTATACCAATCTGGTCCCAACCTACATCATCCCCACCAAAAGACACATGAGTATCTAATTCGAACGCATGTCTGTCATAACAAAAGTAGAATAACAGACCAGTGCTTTTTGATACTCATTTCAAACCCAGATTGGATCACCGAGTTTCGTGCAAGTTCGCACATGTCTCGAATTAGAAAAAGATTGTCATTTTGAAAACTTTAGCAATGATATAGGTGCTTTGGCGACAGAAGATAATGACTGAGAAGACTGACCTGCTGGCGAGAATCGATAAATCTGAGCGGCAACACTGTATTCTTCAAGCAATGGTTCCTAAAAAAAGATGCCATGTCAATATACCATGCATGTAATCAACGAACAAAAGTGACCCAAACCTTTGTGAAATGAAACTGCAGTCTGCGCCATTCAATGTGGATGGTTAAACGCGAAAACCAACCGATAGGCCAAGAAGTGAATGTTTGAATAAAACAATGAGCTCACTCATCCCCATTGACTTGTGATAACGTAGACTTACGGATCATCCGTACTCAAGCTGACATTGAGACCTGTGCGGAAAAAAAGCGGTAATGGATTTCGCTCATAGGTGAGAAAGAGTGCGTTGTTACTGAGGGGGCTCATCGCCAGTCCAATCTGCTTAAGATAGAACATATATTGTAGTGCAGGGACCTTCCGTAGAAGAATTCCATGAGATATTGAGTGAGAGGTCAGGAAAGCGGAGGTAAGATGATCCGTATCTCCAGCCTCTCCCGCATGAGGTCTCAACACAAATGTATTGAAACCACGCGCGGCCCTCCAGTTATTGAGTGAAGCCATATTAGCGTAGAGGTAATAGATCCAGTATGAGTACGGTGGGTTTTGTTCAGTACGCCAATCTTTCGGAAGTGGGTACTTTCGATATATCCTGTGAATGGGCAAACAGATCGCAGACGCAAGTCAGAAAGTGCTCGCTGAATCTGAGCCGATGAACCAGATTTGATGTCTTGTACTCACCTTTTTTCAGGCTTCGATTCGTCATCGACACAATCGAACCCCACCACCCGTTGCAAAAAGACATATAGTTCAGGATGACTAGCTGGATCTTGGGTCACTTCGAAAAGAGGTTCAAACACATCTATCACAAAAACCGATCACCATATCAGCCTTGCCCAAGTTCTTATCGCACATCATATTCCATGTAACTGGTGGTATGAGCGAAAGTAAGCAAATCAGATGTAACTGAACTCGTGATGAGCTGCGCAAAAGAGTCAATCAATCCACTTCGTTTGTAAACGTCGTAGAGCCTCGGAACTTGAATCAACCAGCGGACATTGTTAGAGAACAATTTGTTATTCACAACCCATTTTGCTAGCTTATCCCATTCATCCTTCGACCTGTGTTCAATACCATAACGTATTGTAAAACCAGGGCAGAATCAGTGGATATGATCCAGGTTCATTTCTGTCTTGAGCATCTATACAGTGGACATGAAGCTCACCGGCCATATATGGACAATCGATATTCAGCTTGCTGGTATTTACCCGTTTCTAAGTCTGTCATGACCTCTATTGACAAAGAAAGAGATCGAATCAATCCACAGGTTGACACCGAGTGAATGAAGCAATCTGACCTTTGGTGAGTTCTGCAAGGTACCGTCCTTGGATAAGGTTATCTGTTTTCAAAAAGATTTCTCGTAGTCTTGACTCTCCAATAGGATTGTACTTCAAGTTGAATCTGGTCCAATGGTTTACGTGATTCGTATCAGTTCAAGTCATAAATGGACAAATTGAAATAAAGAGATTTAAAACGAGACTGTCTCACTTGTCAAATCGATGAAATGAATCGTTGTGAGCATGCATGTCTAATGTATCAATTGATAGATCATACGCCGTCAAGTTGAGAGAATCAAACACTTCCCTCAGTGTGAGGTAGTGTTCATCTCTAAATATCACAACGTCCTGTTTTTCGAGGTCAGGTCAGGATATAGTAAAATATCAAAAGAGTGAGAACGTGTATGCTGAAAGTATCTTACCTCTGAACTTCTTTTCATCTTGGATTTGATGAACCGTAACAAATGTTTCTGATTCATACTTGCTGTGTGATGAACGTGTGTATCAACTTTCCGAACGTTGTAAAAATCCCTGGATCGCGATTGGATGTAGAATTATGGAAACAAGGCAACGATGAAATTTGATCAATGCCATGTTCCGCTACCAACTCGAGTGAAAATTTTAATGGAAGAGACTTTAGCCAAATGGCAGACGAGCCTATTTTTTGAAGGCAGCTTCCCATGTCATCACACGAAGGAATATTGCGATGCGGTAAAAGAGTCACAGAAAAACCAACCTATGAGGCACCCGTTTCATGTCTGCCAGTTCCTGATACTCGTTCAAGAGAACATACATATTCCACTTGCTTTCCAGGAATTTGAGTCTTCGCCATGCAAAGCTCTTCGCCGGTCCGTTCGATATGACATTCAATACATAATCTAAATCAACAAAATATTCCTTGATTGTCGGAATATCGTAGAGTGGCTTAATTTGATCGGATCCATAAACTTGGTAGACACCCTGAGTATCTAGCTTATAGGTATAATCCCTCGTCGAATCTCGTCCTGGAATTTCGCAAGCATCGAATTCAAACGGTTTAAGAGACTCTGGTGAATTTTCATCGACTTTTGACCGATCTGATCGTTTTACATGTGTGGGTGAGTGCCAATGAGGCTTGGGAGGGTTTGGATAAATCTTCCAAGGTGGGTAAGCAGTTTCTTGATCGCCTTCAGGTTTGTAGATACCATCATAGGATTGTGGGTTGTCCTCGAGTCGCTGTTTGGATCGAATGATATACTTGTCACGAAGATCTAGACAATTTTGAAATGACTCATAAAGTGAGCGTAAGTCTTGACTAAAGGCTAGCTCGGCATTTGAAGCGTCAGCATCTTGAGATGTTGTATCCGGATCAATTGAGATATCATCTTTAGACGAAGATACGTTGCCATTCGAAGAATTGAAATTGGAGTGTTGGAGCTTGCCGCTCAGATTAGGTCGTGATATGGAAGGATTAGTGATTGAGCCGGAGCTATTGGCTTTAGACGAAGTGGGCCGAGTGCTCTCGGAGTTGACCAGGGCAGTGGTAGTGGTGGACATCTCAGCAATCCCCAACGCACTTACACCCGGCTTTTTTGTCGGCGAGCCTTCAGGCAAGGAAGGATGATGAGCCCAATATTTCCCGTCTGCCTGAATGATATAGGGCGAATTGATTGAAAAAAGAAGACAGTAGGTTTATCTCAAGTTCAAGTATAAAATGATCGAGATGAGGTAAGGTAAGGAGACAAACGTCTTGGATTTCACGTTCTTCTTTATAGTCATAAAATGCTTTACGAAAGTTGATAGGCGTAGGTGGCTCGCTGGAAACAGGTGGAGAAAGTAAAGATACTGGAGATGCTTTGGATGATTCAGGAGAATCGAGCGGTAGTTGATCGGCTGAAGCAGACATGGTTTATCAAGAGTTGGATGTTTGACTTTGTACGCTAAGCAGTCTTTTTTTGATGATGATTCTGAGAGTCTGAACTTATGTTAGCTGACGATATAGTTGGTATCCTTAGTTTATGTATGATTAGTTTCAGTAGTTGTGTATTTGTGTAAGTAAAAGGGAAAGTTCTTGATGAAAGTGATGATACAAAAGTCAAGTTGGTTGATATCTCAAAAGAAGGAGAATGACCAATCAAGTCAAGCTATGATGTGATGTGGTTCTTAAAGCGGTCATGAAATTTTCTGGATTTTCTTCAAAGTTCATGGCTCTGCCCCAGGGCTGAAAACCCATATTACAGTATGTAATGACATCCACGTGACATGCTCAGTGGTGAATCCCTCCTGATCACGCTGATATTTAACATCTTCTTCAGGTTCACTCATGATCGCCACCCTTAAACCCTTGACTATTCACTTTTTCACAACAGACTCGTCATCATACCCAACATGTGATCACCAACCTGACATACTGATTTACTGATACAAATCACAAGGCGTTGAAGAACCTGTGGAAATGAGTTGTGACACGGCATATGATCACATGCCTGGAATGTTCCTTGCACCACTTTCTGAATAGTGTATCTCAAGAGTAAAGAACAAACCCTTGACTAACCTCGAGCCTCACACGAATATCTCAAATTTAGTACCATTTCATTTCTCACATAACACACGGAGCCATAGTTGGACCACTATAGCCAACCTTCTATGTGTTCACATGAATGAAAAGGTGTTGAGTTCTACATACATTACGAAGTAAATTCTAGGGATCAGAACCAGTGGTAAAAGTCATGGAAACCCCAGAAGTCCAGGTTAAATTCTCAGGAAAGCTCAAGAGATAGTCATTGAGTTAAGTTTCACCCTCAAGTCGATTTGTTTTGATTGACTAACTGTAAAGAATAGACTCGACATAAGTAGAGATTGATGTGACAATAAAATCATCAGCACGCATGAGGTACTCGAGAAATGGATAAAGTTCCCTGAAAGGCACGTGTTTCTTGTCCACTGATTCTTGGATTCTTACAGGAGCCACAGCCAAGAGTAAGTCAGAATGAGGATCTTAATGGGGCACTTGTTGCTGATCCAGAGATCAGTTTATAGGATCAAGTGATTAAAAAGAATGATACCCAGATCATTTTTTTCAAGATTGAAACATCACTGCTGAAGATAAAAAAGCACAGAGTGAAAGTGAAATATATACAATTATTTGGAAACTAGAATGCTCATAAACAGAAAGATACAAAAGAGTGAACTTCATAAAAATCGAGAAGAGTGAATCAATAGGATTTCACAGTTTAGCCAATAACGGTGAACTGGAAGGTTGAGAAGGACTTATTGAAATCGAGCATCTGTTCAAAGATGTTTAAACAACCACAACAATTTCAAGGATGTGGAAGGAGTACTCGGAAGCTCAATTTAGATTGAGAAGGTGTAGTAGCATGACGAGAAGGATTCTTGTACGTCGATCCAAACGTCTTCTCAGTATCCCGTCGATTCGAAGCACCAAATCCAAAGTTTGATTCCTTAGGTTTGTTAAACCAATTTTGAAGTTTAGTTGAAGGAGTATGGGTTGAAAGATCAGTTTCGGACCGTTTAGGTGGTCGACGAGCTGGGAATTGAAAAGCTTTTCTCATGGAAGAAGTCGGTTTCGGATTAGATGAATGATCTTCATACTTACGGTACGGATCATCGGACGTGCCAAGTAAGCTTTGAGAATCGTCTGTTATCATACCTGACCATGGTCTGTCATATAGCTCAACTGGTGCAAGCAACCTACGTGGTTCTTCGGGATCTACTGGAAAGTTGAAGACAAAATATCAGTAACATGATCCTCAGGAAAAACATATCAAGTAGAAGAGTTAACATACGTGTTTTCTGCCTTCGCTTCCTTGGCCCTTCGATTGTACGAGAAGTGCTGGGTGGGTTTAATGTCTCGGATTCAATGAGCGGTTGTCTCTCATCAAGTTTACATTGATCTAGACTGAAGATGTGATCAGCTTGAACGGTATGGTTCCGATTAGTAAGATCAGTCGAACGTTTTTGAGAATGAAATCGACTCAAAGGAACATATCCTTCAGCCAAAGCAGTTGCCGGTCCTAATGGTTCATCTGGATAAATCTCAAATGACGTACCCCAGAGTGAACCCGATTCATCACTTTCTGAATCCGATCCTCTACGTACTTTTCGAATTTGATTACCGATCCAATTCACAGCTTTATTGGAGCCTGTGCCAAGCTTCTCTCGTAAGGCAGGAATCGCATCAGTCGATATCTTTCGGCGGTGACTGAGACGAGTGCGAGTTAAGTCTTCTAGCATTTCACAGTTCGAGTTAAGGTGGTTGAGTTGTGGAAGATATAGGTAGAGATAGGGTTCCTAAATTTTGCAAGGTATATTGAGGGTGAAAAAAATATAAAGGTTGAGGTTTGAAAGCAATTGAGGAATTATGAGGTTGTGGGAAGTGGGGAGTACGACACGGAACGTTTAACGAGCCGAATCATTCAAAGGTCATGATGATTCGAATTGTGTGTGTTTGCTTTCTGGAGCATTTGACTACGAGCGAATGCCAAAGCGATTAGAAAATCGGAAAAGATAATACACACTTTCCCAAAAGTTGAACAACATTTTGGACAGTCAGGCTTTTGGTTCCAGGAGTCATTGGCATTCCCATGCCTCCTTTCGGTGTTTTCCTACGAAACTCCTTTCTACAAACACAACGTATGTGCTCCAGTCTCTAGAGGCGAATCATATTGTTCGCTGTCACGATTGATCTCCGCCGAGTGATCATCTCATGACTTAAGCATGAGGGAATTCATAGATCACATGTATATCAAGTTGCTGTATAGAGTGGTGTGGATGTTGAGCCCGAGTTCAGGTACTTTCTTCCTCCATCAAGAATCTGGATGAAATTAGTGGTCCGTCCCAATGTCATATGGACTTTTCTCACATGTGATGATGACTTTTCGAAAAGCAAATTCAAGAGTATTTTTCATTTCTTGGAAAATAAAATCGAATCGAGTGAATTCTAGAAGTGAGAGACAAAAGCAGAACGCCTTTGAGATGAGCCATTTAAGCTTAAATTTAGAGATATGTATACTTAATTAAGTTGTAATTAAGGGTTAAATGGTTTAAAACTGTCATCGGTGGTGGGTTGTGAAGTGAATTGATCGAATATGTAAATCCCGATGACGATCAAATGAAGAACCTTTGATGTTTTCTGATAAACTCCTTTCTTTCTTTCTTTCTTTGATTGATTGATTGATTCCCCTTTCTCATTAAATGACTTCAACTCATCTTCAACTCATTCAAAACATTTCAACCTCAATCAAATAACAATCCATCAACCAACCAATCAACCGAACCATCAACTCATCTCATCAATTCATCAAGATGGGTTTCTTATCACTTTTCAAATCAAACCAATTATCTAACTCTCCTGATGCATTTGAAAAAGAATTGGCTCAATTAGAACTCAAAATCGAAAGACATCAAGATAGATTACAAGCTATCAAAGAACGTGAAATCTCTACTACCTTTAATGTTACTACTTATTCTTTATTGTTTTGGTCTGCTTATTCCGCACTTTGGTATATGGGATGGGGTTGGTCATATTGGAAAACATCATTAAATCATCAAGATGAATCTCATCAAACTAATTCTATTAATCAAATCTTGGAAATCACTCCCATCATCTTGATTCCGATTGGGTAAGTCATTTGATCTTCATCTCTCTTTGAATCACTTCATCCTTATGTGATTTAATTTTTTTTTTTAAAAAAATAGGTTAATCTTTACAAGACAACTTTTTCAATCTTGGTATACTCACAAACATGAATCTGAACAACTTCAATTACGTCAACTTCAAAAACAATTAAGGGAAAAGGTTGAAGAGCTTAAAAAGAAGACATCATATTATACGACTCGTGAATTGTTGGAAAGATATGATGATAAGCTAAAAACTTCGAATGTTTGTCTTTCGATTCATTTTACTGACTCAAACCTACCATCTCGAATTGTACTGAAGCCTGATTTTCTTGTCTTTTCTAGAACCCATTGAACAGAAAGATGGGTGACCGTCCATCACCAATGTCAACCCCTGATACTCTTCGACAACGTCATCCTCCCTCAACCCACTCACCCGCACCTCCTAACTCACAACCTCCTAACTCGATGCCTTCCATCAAACCGCCACCAAGCCAACCACGAGGTTCTCCATCAGTTCCTTCGCCCGCAGGCAGTCAAAGAGGATGGGCTGATCGGTTTGCCGAGGCTTTATTAGGTGATGATGAAGCTAAACCTGAAACGAAATATGCTTTGATATGTAAGAGGTGTTTTAACCATAACGGATTAGTGAGACAAGAAGAATTAGATTCGATTCGTAAGAAAACCTTCCGCTTTGTGATATAGGATAGATTTGAATGTGAATTGATTTGAATGACAATCTTGGAAATCTTTTCTTAGAATATGTGTGTCCTAAATGTGGAACATTCAATCCTGCGAAGGTTCCTCGATCTCATTCACCAGCTGGAGACGGTTTACCTCGAAGTGCTTCTGCTCATCCATCTTATGGTCGATCATCTCTAGATCCTTTTAAAGCTACTTTTGCTCATCCTACATCCACGATAGATGAGCAAACGGGTGAAGATGGGGGTGGGAGATACCTTAAGGCTTCGAAACCGGCTTATTCACGGAAATCACTTGGAATCACCCCTTCAGCATCATCTGATCGGATCGCATTGAAACAACAGAAGAGAAGTGTCAGTTCGACTTTACATGACAAGACTACTACGATAAGAGAACCAGTGGAAGAAGAAGAACCGGTGGAAGAAGAAGAACCCACTCAATTTGATTCAGGCCATAGTGATTCTTCCGAGTCCCGACCCGAAGATTCTAAAGACCCTCGACCTACTCGTCACTCTGATGTCTCTGACGAATGAACGATGCAGCGCTCACAAAAAAACAAATAATAAGATCGGTACTGAATATATATCCAACCTTGATAGACTTTCAATTAATTCATTGAAACTGGTAACCTCAATGATTTTCGTATCTATAGCTAATCTAATTCACATTGCTAGTCTTTCTCTCGGAGTTTTATTAAGTCATGAAAAAAAAAACATTTTTTTGGGAAAGTGAAGCATTTACAGTTTATGATATAAAGATATAGCTTATTACTCTTTTTTCTGATTAATCTTGAGTGACGGAGTGTTCCTTAGTTTGCTTTGCTTTTGTTTGTTTGTTTGTTTATACTTTATCAAAAAAATAAGATGGATGTATATAAATTTTTAAGAGATAGGAGACAATCATTGCGCAACACTTAACTTATATAGATTTGGGTATAGATTTTCTTTGAAAAGAAGTCTGGCTATCATGATAAAGAATTGGTTTGATTGGTGAGTGAGATGGGATCACTCAAGGGTAAACCTTTAAGCCTGGTGATGATTCGGTGCTCGAACTTCTGCCTCCAAGGTTTGGGATATCCCGTCTGGAGTTTTCAAAGCAAGTTGAGGTGCCATGTAGACCAAAAAGAGCGTTGAACCGAGAAATGTGTGAAATGACACGTGAAAGGGACTGGCGAACTTGTGAACTGGCGAATACAGCCAGAATGATCAATCGGGATTGTGCAAACTTAAATCCGTTAACTGGAGTTTAGTCGAAACATTTAGTCCACCACCACTCAACCACCTCGTCATCGTCACATCATCAAGACCTGTAAACTGAGAAGACCTTCCTTTGCTTCAATCAAATGGCCAACGTACAAGACCCAGCTATTCAGGCCGGTGAGCCATTTTTAAATCATTCAAAACAGTCTTTCTTTATGAAGATGTATGACTCGGATTTCTAATACAAGATGATGATGATTTGTAGCATATGACGATGTAAGGAATGATAAAACCACCTCGAACTGGTTTGTAGTTTTTCTTAAACCTTACCACTAAATTGAACAATCAATCATCTTAAGAAAGTTACTCATCTAAATGCCATTTGTGTTTTTTTACGTCTTAAAATCGGTTTGATTGTCAGTTAGGCTTTTGTTGAATTATGAATCGGAGAAAAGTGATAAACTTTTACTTAGTGAGATTGGGAATGGTGGATTAGATGAATTGAAAGATAAATTAGAAGCTTCTAAGGCTTCATTTGTTTATTCTAGAATTGTTGAGTGTTATTATTTATTTATTTTTGATTCTCTACATCATAAATGTTTCGGATGTTGATGGTTGATTCTTTTTTTTCTTTTTGGAACGGTTTTGGTATTGATGATTTCATGGTTTCTTTCACCAACTTGATATGGGTTGGATATTCATGGATTCGATTCGATGTAGACTTATGCTAACGATAAAGAATCACAACGTCATAAATTCGTTTTAATCATTTGGATAGGATCAGATGTGAAAGTGATGCGTAAAGCTAAACTTAGTGTTCATACGGCAGACGTTAAGACGGTCTTACGTCAATTCAGTATTGAAGTATATATATTCTACTTTATCTTGTGAAATGATTGATGGGTTTTGATTGAGTTTGATGTGTTTGTTTGGTTTAGGTGCCTGCGAATTCTTTCGATGATCTTAATGAAGAAGATATCGTGACTAGGTTAAGGAAAGTAAGTCGGTTTAGATAAACACATCTGATCAATTTACTCTCAATTGCTGAATCATAATGATCATGGTTATAGGCCGGAGGTGCATCCTATGATAAAGCCTGATCAAGAAATCACTTACTGCTTTCGAGTGGTTTTGATCATAAGCTTGGTTCGGATCTTGGTATTTTCAAATCAAGTTTGTATAGATGGATGTTGTTGTATTTGTTTTTAGTACAGCTAGTATCAGTTTAGAGTAAAGTTTGATGGAATTCATCTTCAGATCGTAACCTAATTTGTCAAGTACTGTCTGCACTCATTTTAACATTTGTGATGGTCTTATTCGGCTTGGGTATTGCTCATGAATCATTACTTTGATTATGTCTCTCTCTCATTCTTGCTAACTGATAGTTAAGAAGTTGTTTAGTGATAAGGCATGTGAAGGACATCTTTGTTCCACGGTCTGATTACCACAGACGCCCTGATCATACTCTGGCATTTTGTTGACGTCTGGGTTGATCTTTAAAGAGAAAAAATGGGAAGACAGCCGGTCTATGAAAGAGATGTACGCTAAAGTATACATCTTGTTTTGGATTTAACGATATCAAAGATCAACCTTCAAACTTTGATTTAAACCCTCTCTTGCCATTCACATGTTACGATTTTTCAGACATCATGATCATGGTCGGAGGATGATGGGCTGAGAGACCGTCTAACTTAATTCCCTACAATCTACCAATGTTTGAATTGATAAAATAAAGCCTCTTCGATGTTGATTAGGCTCATGTTTTTCAAAAACACATTGTTTGACTTGTGCTGAATAACTGCTGGCATCTTCTACTTTTGAGATTTACCTGTTGTATTTTATATTCAACTCTTTACTTAACAGGTCAATGGTTTTCTGTGGTTGTATGATATATCTGTTCTTCATCAGCGTAGATGAAATGGCTTGGGCTTGATATCATGTGAGCTACCCTGATCCTGATGATCATTGAAGTTGATTGATATGATATCACTTGACTTGCTACGGCTGAAGCGATCATCAGGAACCGAGTCATGCTTTAAAAATTCGATCAATTCAAGGACTTGCTGTGATTTTGATGAAAAATTGAGACAATCATCAAGGATGAGTTCAAAACTGACGAGCTTATCAATAAGACAAAACAAGGGCAAAGATGCTGTGATGTTTGAGATTGATGAATTTCTCAAATTGGTAAAATAAAATCAGATTCTCTTTCCCCTTTTACCTACTTAAGAAATCTATTCACCTTCCCTGAAATAAAAGTTTGTATCACTCTTCTTCCCTTTTTGCTTCATTGACCAACGCAAATATTTAAATATTTCCTTCTCAATCAAATTTTATATCTTTTGTCTCGCCTTTTTCGAAATTCGTCTCTTCACTTTCGTTCCAAAAACCAAGACTTTAGAATTTTTAAAATGGAAATCACCCCCGTCAAACCCATTAGTAATACTGAGCGTGTAGAAACCCCTCCGACTTATAATCAAGACACCAAAACTAATCAACCTGTTTGTCATCTTTCTGACTTCTTTTTTTCTCAAATTCTTTGATCGAGGAGATGAGGTGCATCCTTAGACAAAGCTAACCCTTGATTCATATTTTTAGGCCTACCAGGTTCCCATGAGCATGAACCAGCCTCAAGTTGAAAAAACGTGCTTACAGCGTATGAGACCCGAGACGCGACAGACGCGACCATGGCGTCATGGATTGTGTCAATGTCATCAAGAGTGTGGTACTTGTTGTTTATCGTTCTGGTGCCCTTGTATGGTCAGTCCTTCCTTCAAACGAATCAAATGAATCCCCCTCGGTTCTTTTGGAAGTAATCAATTTGATTTTGTTGGTTTCTGGGTGGGATCAAGGTTTATGGAAGAAATCATTCTAGATTAAATCATATGAAGATGCATAATCAACGTGAGCTTCCAAAACTCTCTCAATAAATTACATATCTTTGACGATGATGTCTGATTCTTGTATAATTGTCTTTCTGATACAGCACACCCGACCGGTGGAGATCCTTGCGGTCCAATGTCTTGGCTCTTTACTGCCGTGAATTGCACCTTTGGCGTAGGGTAAGTGTGCCAGATATTCCTTCTACGTCACTGATTCAATTGTGTTCTCTTCTAAGTTTGAATCTTCTTTGGGATTTGGATATATAGATGGATACTTCAGTTCCTTCAACGCAGTGAAACTCGCGATAGATACTTGATTGAGGGTAATACATTTGGTGGTACGTTGATAACCCTTTTACGCAATTCTCACAACACTATCACATTCAGAGATTATCTCTCAATATACCAAGTTCTGATCCCTTCAAACTGATGATGTTTCACTCCTTTCAAAAGATTTCTGCGGAGCGCTTTGTTGCATGTGCCTTCAACAAGTTCAAGAATCACGAGAGTTACAGGTTAGCAAATCTAGGAGAGTCTCAAAGAAGATAAAAGGTCATCCGATACTGATTTGTACTTGGATCGTTTCATTCACAGGAAGAAGAAAGTCTCATGATGGGAGTTCCTGCACAAGTATGATTAACAGGCAAAACGGATGGATCACTCTATTTCAAATTAGTGTACTCCTGTAGGAAACACACGTAACATTATTTTGAGCCATTTGGCGTGGTTTCCTTTTGAAGGAGTTTATATCGTTGTTCGAAAATTTGTGGTATTCAGTTTGAGAGTTTTGATTTGGATGTATGAATATGTCTTCATTGAAAATGTAGTCAAAACAGTTGGTGTGTAAACTAAGCGTCAGTTGGTCTCGTATGACCTTCCGAGCGCTGATAGGTCAAGTTTTGTGCCAAGTAGATATGAGTTTAGTCATGTCAGATCACAGCTATCATCTGCATGGTGATGTTGGCCGTCTAACCCGCCAGAATATGATGGCCATGCAGTCACACAGGCGCGCTTGTTTCGAAGATCACATCTTTGTATCACTCATTCTATATCTTAGTATCTAGTCTCTCGAATCCTCTGAGTAGAGCACGAGAAAAAGAATCAACTTTAACCATCTGGATTGAAAACTAAGACAGATCAAGGTTTTACACTCAAAGAACAGGGAATGGTATTTTTCTCAAAGAACACGTAGTGATGCACCAAAGGTCATGGATCCAAAAAGGGCATGGCGTCTCCAACACTCGCCTCCGCCAGGGGTGACTGCCAGGGCTGAGCTTGAGTAGGATTGCCTTGTCGATTTTCCACGTAAGATGTGCAAAAAAACTTCTACACGGGCTTGCGTGAGGTATGATTACTGACTCAGCTTTAAAAGAATGTGGATTGGCAACTTGAAGGCCACGTCGAAAAGGAAACTTGAACTTCTGTCAAGACATATATCGACACTTTCATCTCCCCTTGTCGCAGCAAGAAAGAAAGCGCGAACAGGAGCCCGAACTACCTCCACCTCTAAAGTTAGCTCTCCGACCTCAAATTTAAGCTTTCCCGAAAACCAAACCGCCGTGTTAGATAAATATATGCCAGCCATTCGCACACATGAAGTTAGGAAAGCCGCTAGAAAGTTGATTCGAAACGCTCGTATCCGAAAGTTTGAATCCCGTAAAAAGACGCAACGAGGACGACTTCACCCTCGCGTGATCGGAAAGGGATTTGTGAACGTAGGGAATTCTTGCTACATCAATGCAATTTTACAAGCTCTAGTGCATTTGTCACCCTTGGCAGTAGATATCAGTGATATTTATCACGAGCCCTCGTCTTGTAAGTGTCTGAGGCTGATCCATCAAATTCATTTCACAATTTTCACACAAAAGTCTCGATATCAGCTAACACCTTTTCTATGTTGTTCCAGGTGCCCTGCGATTATCTTCCAAGTGGTGTGCAATGTGTGCGTTGCAGTCTTTAGTCATTTCCCGGTATCAATCTTTCGGGACATCTCGTCGCAAGGTCCCAACTGTTTTTACGAGTCATTTACCAGGTCAGAGATCTTATATTTGTTTCAATGATTGTTGAGCTAACCCTATGTTTTTATTCAGAATACGCATCATCTCTGACCCCAGGCATGCAAGAAGATGCGCATGAATTCCTTAGTCTAGTTTTGAGTGCGCTTCAGAATGCTGAGCTCGGGCTTGATGCAATTTCTTTTGGCAAGTCTACTGAGGCTCAACGTGACAAAACCCTCGTCTCACAGCTTTTTGAAGGCACCTTGATACGCGGTATCATATGTTCTGTTTGCGGTTCTGGTCGCGCTATGACGGAACCCTTTCAAAACGTAGGGTCAGTGAAACGTCTCGCAGATTGATGAACTATCGTGAAAATATGTGTACAAGTATGCTGACTTTTTGCCACGATCTTCAGCGTTTCCTTGTCATCTCTTACCGTTGAAGAATCAATTAATGGAATGGTGTCAGAAGAAACCATTGACCACTATCACTGCGAGGAATGTAATAATAGACAAGAAGCATATAGACGCACAGAATTGCTTTCAGCTCCTCGGGTGCTGATTGCTAACCTCCACAGGTTTTCCGCTTACGGCGAAAAGGTACATGATCATATTGATCTTTCTACTACTCTGAAGTTAATTTCAACTTCAAATGGTGCAGAAGCTCTATACCAATTACAAGCCGTTGTTTGTCATACTGGGATGTCTACTCACAATGGACATTATTATACATATGTCAAGGGTTTCAATGGACGATGGTATTTATTGAATGATCATAAAACTACACGTGTTGAAGAAGATCAGATGAAGCAGGATCCGGGTTCATATTTACTGTTTTATACCACTGATGTTTCGCGTTTACCGAGCTTTGAATTTCTGCACACCTTGTAACGCATCGATTACACCATATTTCACTGAAAAAATTGACACAGAAGACCGTAGAGATAGCTTCTTCCTGGTATTTTGTTTTCTTGGACCCTGGCACGAGCAAGAGCAAAATCATTTATTTGAAAACTTTCACTGGTTGGTTGACTGCATTTTTCACCACATACACACTCCGTATAATCAATCGTAGTCTTTCCATTATCTTTAAAAGTCTGGGATGACCAACTTTTGCTCATGAATCACACAGCTATTCAAGCTTTTGTAATTCTCGACTATTCCCATGGATCCAAAAAGGGCATCTCCTTGAACACACACCTCCGCCAGAGCTGGACTTACGTTTGACTTGTCCACACAGGATGTCAGAAAACTTCCTGCCTTGTGTGAGGCATTTTAGAGTGAGTTATCTTTGAATGAATGTGGATTGACAACTCTTTCTGATCTTCGAATACACCTCGATGAAAAGTAAATCATAAAAGAAGTCGCCTTTGAAGTTGAGAGATTATTCGACTTTTGGTCAATTTATAAATCAAACCTTTCATCTCAAGATTTCCTTCATCACAACAAGCAAAAAAGCACAAACTTAAACCCAAATTACATCTACGTCTCAACTTACCTCTACAACAATTTGAATTCCGAATCTTTACCAAGGAATAAAATCACAAGCCAATTAACGATGCCGGCCATCCGTTCTTACGAAGTTAGAAAAGCTGCTAGAAAGCTTTTTCGAAACGCTCGCATCAGAAGACGTCAAGCTCGTCAAAACACACACAAACAAAGGTTCCCTCGTCCCATCGGAAAAGGTTTTGTCAATGTAGGAAACTCTTGCTATATCAATGCAATCTTACAAGCTCTAGTACATTTACCCCTTCTTGCAGTGAATCTCAGTGACCTCTATCACACGCCCTCGTCTTGTAAGTCCCTGGTGATCATTGATCAAATTCAAGATATTTGATTCATGGATCTCAGCTAATTCTATTGTCTACATTTCTTCAGGTCCCCTTCGATTATCTTCAAAGTGGTGCGCAATATGTGCGTTACAATCTTTAGTAATTTCTCGATACCAATCCATCAGATCATCACGTCGCAAAGTCCCAAAAGTTTTCACGAGTCACTTAGCAGGTAAAGATACTTTACAATTCTTTCAAATCGTGTTATCCCTTAGCTAATATATATATGTTTTCTTCTAGATTACGCACCATCTCTAACTCCAGGAATGCAAGAAGACGCACACGAATTTCTCAGTTTAGTTTTCAATGCGCTACAGAATGCTGAGCTCGGACTTGATGCAAATTCATTTGGTCAATTTACCGATGCTGAGTGCAAGAAAACTTTGGTGTCACAACTTTTTGAAGGTAGCTTGATCCGTGCTACGATTTGTTCGGGTTGTAATACAGGTACGACCGCAGTGGACTCCTTTCAAAACGTAGGGTAAGTAAAAACGTTTCCTAGTCTCAGGTATGTAGAATCATCTTCAAAAGTGTGCTAATTTTTTTCTTTTGCGTTTGGGATTCAGTGTTTCCTTATCATCTGTTACAGTCGAACAATCTATTAATGGTATGGTATCAGAAGAAATCCTTGACGAATATCACTGTGAAGAGTGTGATGGTCCACAAGAAGCACATAGTAGGACCGAGTTACTTTCAGCTCCAAGGATACTGATGGCTAACCTTCACAGGTTCTCAACTTACGGAGGAAAGATACATACTCAAATTGATCTTTCTACTACTCTGAAATTAATCTCTACCTCAAATGGTGTCGAGAGTCTTCACCAACTTCAAGCTGTGGTTTGTCATGCTGGCTTGAACACTAATTGTGGACATTATTATAGTTATGTTAAGGGGATTGATGGACGATGGTATTTGTTTAATGATCATAAAGTTGAACGAGTACATGAAACTCATATGAGGCAGGATCCTGGTGCATATTTATTATTTTATAGTACTGATGTTTCTCGTTTACCGAGTTTTGAATTTATGAACAATTAACACATTTGATGGAACAAAACATTGGCACCAAGAAAAATTGATTGATTTGTATAGAGGGATATAGCTAATCTTTTTCCTGTACGTTACCAATTACTCTTTAGAGCTCAATTTGAACATTCTGATATAAAAAAGAACAAAATGACAAACTTTGAGGTTTCTTACCACATTTTTCTAGCATAGATATCAAACACACATGGATGTATGCGTAATGAGTGGTCATTTGGGTGATATCAAACCTTGTATCACAGCATATGAATCACCTGGTCCACAAAATCTCTTCAATGTTGAGCTTTTTTTGCAACTGGTTTTCTTCAAGTTTTCTTGTATACCATCGTGTCATCTCAAAGAAGGCAACATCACAGCCATAGCAGAGGAATCTGAATAGGAAAACTCCCTTTACAATACCACATTTCATCTGACGCTGGAATTGATGGAGGATGATGTACAAAGGACCTAGAAGTAATCTTTGTAGGAGGAATTACCTTTGAGTGATAACTCCTTTTTGAACCAAAATGTTTTGAAAGGCCTGTGTGAGAATGTTGGCTCCCGTCTCAAATTTCAAGGGTCAAAAAAGTGACTAAACAGCAGCATTCCGAGTAGACTCCAAGCATCTCACATACATCACAACATTCTTACTCAAGGTCGTCATGAATGTTTGAAGCTCGTAAGATGTTACAATTAGGTAGCCTTTCAGCCATCTCAGCCTTTTAGCTCGAGAAATCGAAAGATCCAAGGATGCTCAAAGATTGGCGATTCCTACACATTCTTCATATGAGCCATCAAATTAAAAATTGATCTCTTGGAAGTATATAACTTTATTGAATCTCAGAGCGTTTCAACACTGAATCAACCCCTTATCAAAACCTTTTAGTTCATCAAACCAATCTCATGCATAACTCTTTTCGCATATAGGTCATTAAATCTTGGAATCCATAATGTTCAAAAATACAAATTTCTCATTTATAGCATCCCAGACTTACACAACCCGATAAATTTGTGAAAAATATCAGTGCGGTCAGGAGGAGGTAAGTTTTAGCGGCATAGGAGCCTGGGTATAAGTCGATATAGGGAAAAAGGCGCGAAAGATCATAGTATTATATTCAGTCCATGAAACAACGGAATAACTTTTTGCGTAAAGTGTGAAGAGGATAGGCTCTGTTCTGCTTCAAAATCCAAAGAAAGAATGAGTTCACTATAGAGATAGGACAATCGTGGTTTGAGGAGAACACATACCTGATGAAGTTCAACCGATTCACGATCTCGTACGTTTGAGTGAAGCACCTGAAGCTTCAAGTTCCGTGACGGCACCCATTTCAAGTTCTTGATCTTCCTTTGTAAATTCTTCTTCACCACCATCTTCATCTGAACCATCACCTTTCTCTACACTCGATCGTTTATCGACCTTGAGACCTTTCATCTTCCTACTCTGAAGTTTATCTAATGGTTGTTTACCCACATGAATCTTTCCAACCTTATCACCCATCTCATCAATATCTACATTCTTATTACCTTTAACCTTGGTAACCTTATCAGCTGGTTTCTTGATCACTTGTCGTTTGAGAGCTAGTTTTAATAATTCTTCCGATGGCATTTGAGTTCTTCGTAGTCTGAAATCAAACGAAGGACCATGTGGTGATAACTCTACTCTTGGTTCTCGTTGTCCTGATTTAAAGAGTTGAACTAGATGAGTTCGAAAATGAATCAATGGTAATGGATTGTTATTCAGAAGAGTTTGTCGATCGGGATGAACGAGTGAGACAGGTGCAGGTTGAGATGGTTCTTGTGGATCAAGATTAGGTGTCATAGTCGTTGAGGTCTTGTTGTGGTTTCCTAAAAGAGACGTTGAACTACCTTCTTGATCGATTTGTCCTATACTGATCGAAATCACATATTGAAGACCATTGACCAGATCAATCGAATTAAGTTGTTGACCATGAAAGAAATCCAAAAACATCGACTTGAGCATCTTTAACCTTTCATCTGTATCCCATAACGTTCCAGCAAAGTGTAAGAGAGGCACCAGACCAGGTGAAGCTTTTGGACCTTTGATATCTTTTAATGAAACAGCTCCTTCAATACCTAATTCAATCATATCTAAAACCTGATGATCAAACATCCTAACAAAACTCAAATTATCCGGTCTTTTCTTACTATCACTACCAATGACAAACAAACTTGCATCATTCTTAACTGACCAGAATTGTAATGAAGAAGCATCTTCGAATGGATGGATCACATTTCGTTTACTAAATTGAATCGAATCAGATGATGATCTTAATTGATGTAATTCACTTAGAGCTATTCTAACTTTTTCAGAGGTTTGGGTTGATTTGATAAAGATTGAGGTTTTGGAATCTTCTATTAATTTAGGTTCTCTGGCTTGAAGTGCTCTTTTAGATCTAGCATTCTTGGGTTTTCTGGTGATGAAAAGTATCGAAGGATGAGATATTAGTGAGATTTAATTTTGATTTTGATGATAAGTTTGATCTGACTTACATTGTTCTTTGCATGATTGTTGGTTGTTGGTGTTGGTGTTGAAGTTGAAGTTGAATGAAAAGTGAAGGTTTGAAGAAAAGTTTGAGATTGGCTTCGATTGAAAATTTAAAAATTTAAAAAAATCCAGACTGAGATCTTAAGTTGAGGTTAGGTTTCAAATACTTTCTGACTAACCAAAACATATTTACAGTCAAAGTGATCAGAGAAGAGAAAGAGATCCCAATGAAACCAACGAATGTCAAAGTTTATCAAATCATATCAATTCAATCTATCATCACATTCTCAATGTATGTTATCATTCTCATTTCCAGTCAGCAATCAACTAACTATTCTTGATGCTTCATTCTAGATTGGAGGTCTTCTCTACGAACTTATACTACTCTTTCAAATCTCGATCTTAAAGATGACACAAGTGAGTGAAGAGTGAATTGGCTATTACAAACACCAAACTCATCACCATCTATTTTTCTTCCAGTTATTCGAAACCCAGTCGGTGTTCAACTCTTACCAAGACCAATTCATAAACAAGTCTTTCCAATCCATTCATTTCGATCACCTGATCCAAGAGCTATCAAACTATCACAATCTCATTTGAATCGTCATGGCTTAGCATCCGCCATCTCTCCTGCTTTACCAGCTCCATCATTTCTTTTACCTACTCTTCAGGGTGAAACGATTGATGATCATTTTCAAAAACTAGGTCATGATCGATCTGAACCGTATCTTTCGATTTCAAAACGTTTCACTCAAATCCAATTACCATCGGCTCCTACTAATTGGGCACATCAACCGGGTTGGACAATTTATCATTCAGATGGTTCTTTTGAGAGTATAGAATATCCTCCGATTCATCATGATGCACTAGTCTTTGATGTCGAAACTTTACCTTCTCATACTCACTATGCCATCATGGCTACAGCCGTGACTAGGACGAATTGGTTTAGCTGGTTATCTCCTTGGCTTCTTTCTCAATCTGATCAACCTGATCAATTGATTCCAATGCCATCCGGACAACAACCTAGGTTGATCATTGGTCATCATGTAGGCTTTGATCGGGCTAGGATTAGTGATGAACATTCACTTGAACGCTCTACGACTCGTTTCATGGATACTATGAGTCTTCATATTGCCACATATGGTCTCTCAAACCCTCAAAGACCGGCTTTTGTCATCTCACAACGATCAAAGAAAGAAGCCACACCTGATGGCTCGGATATACCGCCCTCGACCGCTGAGGATCAATTGAATCCATCTCTCGGCTCCAAGCAATCAACACTCGCACAAACCCCGGAAACTCAAGCCCACGGCACTTCTTGGACTGATGTTTCATCAATGAACTCTCTTGACCAAGTAGCTCGACTTCATTGTGGCATCCAACTTGATAAATCCACCAGAAACGCATTCTTATCTTGGGACCGTCCTCAAATCGTAGCTCATCTCTCACAGCTTCTTGATTATTGTTCAGTTGACGTCTCAGCCACTCATGCTGTCTTTAGTAAACTACTTCCAATCTTTTTAGAACAATGTCCTCATCCTGTTAGTTTTGCTGGAATGTTACATATGGGTAATCCATTCTTACCTGTGGATGAGACGTGGGAAAGGTTTTTAGAACGTGCTGAATCTACCTATGCTCATAAATCTTCAGGTGTCAAGACGAGTCTTTTGAAATTGGCTGAAGCCACACGTAAATTGATGTTTGCAAGGAATCCAGCGACTGGTCGAATGATATATGAAGATGATCATTGGCTCAAACAACTTGATTGGAATCCTAAAAAAGCTCGCTGGACTGAACTTAAATCTCGTTCTGAAGCGCTCCAGTCATCCAGTATTTCTAGTGATCTCACTCCTATCCCAGCCTTTCCAGAAGATCCGACGAAACCCGTTCTACGTGATGACAAACCTACGTTACCTGCCTGGTTTGCAGACTTACGCGACTCCAATGATAGTGGTCAACTTCAACTGGCTCATGACACCCCACTAGCCGCGATTCTCTTCCGAGTCACCTATCATGGTCATCCAGTTATCTTTTCCCGCAAACATGGCTGGATGTTCATGACAACTGACACCCCCTTTTCAGGAGAGGCCGAAGAGATCAGTGTTCATGAATTACCATCATTCATCTCTCCTGAACGCCAAGAACGATTGTATCATATCCCTTCTTCGTCATCATCGTCTACAAAAAAGACCAAAGTACGGACACTTTTGAGCAAGAAAGCCGGTAAATTATTTTCAACAGGAGTCCTCAGTTCACCTTACCCCGAAGCAGCAGTAGCGTGCCAGATACCTAAAAATGCGAAAGATTCGAATACTCCTTTCGTCCGGGATGTTTATGAGAAGTTGGTATCATTGGCACATGAGGCCAAGGAATTAAGCCCAGATGCGATCCTTTCTGACCCTTGGCTCAGACAACTAGATTGGAGTCCGGTCGAAGATGAATCTCGTAAACGCTCGACAGAAGTCCAACCTGAAAACCACTATGATGGACAACCTACTTCCGAGCAAAGCACTAAATCAACCAAGTCTTTTTCCAAAACTTCATTACAGAACAATATACCCGAAGAAGATAAAGTCTGGCCTCATTGGTATTGGCTTTTGACACGCGGAGGAGTAGAAAAGATCAGTTTGACTACCAAAAGTCAAATCACTCCATTATTACTTCGTCTCAGTTTCTTAGGATTTCCTTTATATAGATCTAGACAACATGGATGGACATTTCGAATCCCCTTAGATCAACTCATCGAACCTTACTTATCGAGATGTCCATTAGTCTTTAGTTGTGAACTTGATCCGAGATTTGTAGGAGATCAATCTGATGCAGTTTATTTCAAATTACCTCATCCTAGTGGAGATGAAGAGAATGTAGGTAGTCCATTGGGAAAATCATTTGATCTTGCCTTTGAGAATGGAGTTTTACAAGCTACACCATTTAAAAAAGATGATTTACCTACTTCGGGGTTTTTTAGCGATACGATCAGTACTGATCCTAGTCGGCTATTCGAAGAATCTGATGGTGATGCTTTGACTGATAGTGCGCGGGAGGCTGTGTCGATGAATATGCAGTGTAGTTATTGGCTTAATGCATCTCAAAGGATCAAGACTCAGATGGTAGTTTGGAGGCCTGAAGAAAGTAAAAAGAAGATCGAGTTGGGGACTCAAATGTCTCCTACAAGTTTGGAACGACTGGAACCGGAGAAACGTAAGCAGGGTATCATACTACCTCAAGTGACGGTGATGGGTACAGTGACGCGACGGGCAACGGAGAAAACTTGGTTAGCGGCTGCTAATGCTAAAAAGAACAAGATTGGCACCGAGCTAAAATCAATGGTCCGAGCCCCACCTGGCTATGCTATTGTCGGAGCTGATGTAGATTCAGAAGAATTATGGATCAGTAGCGTGATGGGAGATGCACAATTTGGGATGCATGGTGCTACAGCCATTGGATGGATGACATTAGAAGGGACTAAGAGTGCAGGGACCGATTTACATTCCAAGACGGCTACTATCTTGGGAATCTCAAGAAATGAAGCCAAGGTGTTTAATTATTCACGAATCTATGGTGCAGGAGTGACACATGCCATTCAACTTTTAATGAAAGCTGATCCTAAAACATCTAAAGAAGAAGCCAATCAATTAGCCAAGAAATTGTATAGATCGACTAAAGGACTTAAAAACTATCGAAGTGAAATCTTTGAAAGAAGGTTTTGGTACGGAGGAACTGAAAGTTTTTTGTTTAATAAATTAGAAGAGATCGCTTTGGATGATGAACCTAAGACACCTGCCTTAGGATGTGGAATCACAAGAGCTTTGAGAAAAGCACATTTACCTACTAAGTCTGTAGGCATCGATGGTGGACCTGATTTTATGACTAGTCGAGTGAATTGGGCAGTTCAAAGTTCTGGAGTCGATTATCTTCATTTATTGATTGTGGCTATGGATTATTTAATAGATCGGTATGGGATTCAAGCTAGGTATATGATTTCGGTTCATGATGAGATTAGATATTTGTCGGTTTGGGAAGATAGGTATCGAACAGGACTTGCTTTACAAATTGCGAATTTGTGGACTAGATGCCAATTTGCATTCAAGTTGGAGATGGATGATTTACCACAAGTTGAGTGGATTTTGTTTTGATGATTGAAGGTCTTGAAGACAGATGACTGATTGTCTTTTTCGATCATTCGGTTTCTGGAATCTTTTTTAGAGTTGTGCTTGGTTTTCGGCTGTGGATGTGGATCATGTCTTAAGGAAAGAAGTCGATTTGAGTTGTGTAACACCTTCGAATCCGAATCCTATCCCACCAGGTGAATCACTTGATATAGAAACACTTTTAAAACGTTTACCAGAAGGATTAGGAGACGTTCAAAAACCTTTGGGGGTTTTGGATGAGCTTTTTAAATCTGCTGATTCGATTAAGGTTAATGAACATAGAAGTGAAAATTTAGAATGGCTTGAAGCTCAAGCTTCGAGTGATCAAGATGAAGTCAAAAGGATTTGGGAATCGATACGTAAGCCTCGTTGGAAACGAGAACATGGAGAAGAACATATGTTTGGAAACAAAGTTTGGGAAATGATTCGGGCGGCTGAAAGGAAAGATGATGGTTTGAACTGGGATGAGAATCGGTTAGGAAAAAGTCAGATTAGAAAGAGATTGGAAAATGATCGAGTGAAGAACAAGAACAAGAAGAAGAGGTTTGGGTTGGAATTGGAATTGGGAAGAGAGGAAGAAGAAGGAAATGAGGCTTGGAAAAGGTTTGATGAGGTTAGACGTGCTTCTACTACTACTCCTAGTAGTGAAGATGATGGGAAAGGAAAAACATTACAAACGGTTTGAATGATTTATCTTTTTGTTGGACAAAGTTTATCATCATTTGGGGTTTTTCGTTTCTCTCTTTCTCTATGACACAAATAGTTTGAGTGAATTATTTTGGCGGATTGCACTTTTAAGAATTGGCGTTTTTTTGTTTCTCTCTCTTTTAGTTACATGTATGGTTATAACTTCATTGCAAAGTGTTGTATACCTAGGCTTAGTCTTAGATATGATTTGTGTAAAAAAATAATATGATTTGGTTTCTTCTTTATGCTGCAAATAAACGGTGTTTCTTCAAGGTGAAAAATGATTACATTTAGGCCCCGTTTGGTAGCAATTATTTTACTGTGGTCTTTGCATAATCACATGAAAATAATGTGTTTGGTAGCCCAAATTGAGAGATTATTGTACCAGATTATTTGGACAATAATCTCCCAATAATGTGGTTTTATTACAAACTCCTTTTTGGTGATTACATTCCTAAATAATCAGAAGTACTTTGGTACGTAAGAAGGGTCCTTGTCCAATTTTTGACTTCTTCCCATACCTCACTCATACCACCTCTTTTCCCTTCCACTTCCACTTCCACTTCCACTCATTTGTTTTGGTTTTTGAGATATAAGACATCATCTTGGTGCTGAAAAAGGTTGAAAAATGATTGTTTGCTTAAAAAATATTTTAGTACAGAGCAAAATATAATGACCTCAAATCAAATGTATATACGGCTATGATATAAATGGAGGATATGTAGAATGAGTTAGGATAGGATGATGAGAAGTGTTGGTGATTGAATCCAAGGCATTTTATAGCCAAGCCACTACCCCACTCAGTCTCTTCTAACTCCAAGGTATTGAAATCAAGTTTCTTTCTTTTCTCTTACACCAGTAACCATACTAATCCTGATAACTTATCCGCATTGAGCATTCTTGTTTATTTCATTTTGTTGCTTTGTTCATTTTGTTTCATGCCTCATAACAACTTATCAGCTAAAGTAACAGGTCAGTTCAAGTTAACCAAAGATGTTGTAGAATTATAAGTCTTTTGATCTGCATGCTCTGTGAAATTCTAAAATTCCAACTTTTGTTTGGGTATATATGTGGTCATCAGGTAGAGCTTTCTCAGAGTTTTTCAAGATTTGAAGGATTCCCAGTAGCATCTTGATGTAGGCACAGTTATGTTTTAGTGTGTTTTCAAACTTGAAGTGCCCTGATCCCAATGCGGCATGTGAAAGTCACAATTATATATAGAGATTTTTAACCTATGTCTAGAGTCAGATTACTATAAAAGAAGCTGTTGAGTGTGTTCACCATTGTTTCCTCACCCAAACATTTGTCTTCTTTCACTTGCCACCTTCCAGCAGGTGATTTTTCTATCTCTATCACTATTACGTGATTATAGCTGTAGCGCTCTACTAAATCACTAACTTGTGATTCCTACCAGGTCCGCTAGCTGCTTTATGTTTCTCTTCATACTTTACTACTTACTATTGATGGTTTGCTCATAATAATCTTACTCAAACATTTGTCTTATTTCACTTGCCACCTTCCAACAGGTGCTTTTTTGTTCTCTATCACTCTTACGTGATTAAAGCTATAGCACCCTACTAAATCACTAACTCGTGATTCCTACCAGGGTTCAGGTCGAGTAAATCTCAAGCTGACATCAGAAAAATGTTCAGTGACTAACCCCAAGTGCATCTTTGATATTTTTACACAGCAAAACTCCATCATCACCAAGCCTATCAAGGCAAAGGATATGTAACGCAAGTGCCAGTATGTGCCAAGTAGAAGTCCTGACTGACGGGTCATATTTAACTGGCAAAATAGCCACCCATTCATATTAGGGGGTTTAAAGTCAGAGAACTTTTGTGAAACTTTTTAAAAAACAGAAAAGTTTTTTGAATTTTATGGTGTGTTTTTTCTGCAAATATACAGTCAACAGCATTTGGGGGACCTTTTTAGGTGTCCCAATTTTTTTAAATTTACGGTATATTTTGCAACAACGGACAACTTGCTGGACTGTAAAATACTGTAAAGTTCTTAGCTTGAAACCCACTATTTGCAAATGGATGAAAGATGTGGTAAACATAGAACCACAAGCTCAAGGTTTCTTGAAGAATCTCACAAACCCATGATGTGTGCATTGTAGGAGAGTCAAACCCCTGACAAGGTGATCAAAAATTGTGGCATCCACTTTGAAGTTGCAATTTAAACATGCACAATACATGATATAAAAGGAATGATTATTAAACTGATTATAAACATAGGATGTTCTGAATGTGTTTAAATTATTCAACAAAGAAGCCTTCTTGACCTGATTAACAACACATTTGGATAGTATTCCTGTTGATCACCAATGCCACAGTTCAGCTACTTGAAGAGGCAATAAATCACATTTCAAAAGACTTCCAAAGTTTAAGCCGTTCTTAACATGAATTATGAGTGGTCAAGATAGACAAAGTTTCAAGAAATAGCGAAAAGAAGGTATTAAAATTTTGAAGGTTGATATAAATGGAATGATTATTAAACTGATTATAAACAAAGAATGTTCTGAATGGGATTAGATTATCAAACAAAGAAGCCTTCTTGACCTGATTAACAACGCATATTTGGATAGTATTCCCGTTAATGACCAGACGCACAGTTCAGCTACTTCAAGAGCCAGTACATCAATTCCGAAAAACTGCCAAAGTTTAAGCTCTTCTTGATATGAATGATGAGTGGTCAAGATAGACAAATTTGTGAGAGATGGCAAAAAGAAGGTATGAAAATTTTGAAATTGATATAAATGGAATGATTATTAAACTGATTATAAACAAAGAATGTTTTGAATGGGATTAGGTTATTTAACAAAGAAGCCTTCTTGACCTGATTGACAACTCATATTTGGAGAGTATTCCCGTTAATGACTAAAGCCACAGTTTAGCTACTTCGAGAGCCAATAAATCGAATTCGGAAAAAAACTGCCAAAGTTCAAGCACTTCCTAGGTTTGATACCAGTTGCTTGTCCATCTCAAGATGAAAGCTACAACGCGCTTGCCTCTTACTAGTTGAGTCCTGAAGCCATAATCTACGGATTGAAGAAAATATCAATCAAAGGATGAAGGAAGAAGTCATACGATTCATCAGCTTCTAATCTCATCTTGACTTACAGGTCGTAATCTGGGGGGCCGAGGTGGCTTTGCCAAGGTTGAATAAGAACTCGCAAGTTGTACAGAAGAAGGCCGGCGGCGAGCTCTTGGTATGCTCCTATATAAAAAACACGAAAATGATCAGTATCTTGTATATATGTGATGATTAACATTATGAGCAATTATAGAGAAGTATGTGTACCCAATACGATCAACTGGGTACATAGATTGCGAAGTGGCGAAACTCTGCTGCTGTTCTTTAGTTTGATTGTCGCGTGCTGATAGATTGATCGGCGTAGGTGTGTTATACCTGGCGAATGAATCAATATCAGGGAGATTCTGATGTGAGTATCATCACTATATCATTGATAATGAAAGGACACACGCACCGCACTGGCTCCGTCAGTGGTGATTGAGAACTTCTCAATTCATCAACAAGTGAATTATTTCCTGAAGAGTCTGATGCTCTCTCTGATCTTTGCAGACTTTGATATGGAGTAACCTCGCCAGAAGGTCCGAAGAGAGCGGTGACGTCGTTATCAGTCATGAGACGGATCGAGATCGGACCTGAGATTCGTCCCATCTCACTCCTTGTACTTCCAGTTCCAGTTGAAACTTCAGAACTGATACTACTATCCTTTGGTCGACGCCAAAATCGTAGCCTAGACCTTGCCTTTGTAGGTGTGTTGGTCTGAGACGGATGGGATTCAAATGAAGCTGGTTGGCTAGAGGCTAGGGATGACTGGTGGTTCTGATCTATTTGCACGGGTGCCTTCAAGTCCATGCTTTTGGAGCGACGCATAATACCAGCTCGGCCATACCTGCGGTTATTAATTTCTTTCGCCACTTTCGTTTGTGGCGGCTCATGGAAACGGGTTCGAAGAGGTTTGTCGGGCGTGTCCGAAGTCTCGCGCGATGGAGGCTTGGAATCAGGATCCATCGATCTATGGGGTGCCAGAGAGCCCATTAAGTTGGAGACTGGTCCATAAACCGACAGTCGTGCTTTGGAGGGTTTGTAAATTGGGGCGCGTAGATCGGAGGAAGAGTCGTCTTGACTGAAGACGCCTTGACTGTAAAAGGCGCAAACAATGGATAAAAGACCAATATGGAGTTAGTGGATGTCGTTTTAAGCATGAAGGAATGGTACGGACGCTTGGTCTTTCTCCTTGCATGACGGGACTTTCAATTCCGATCCCTTCAGAGGAATTTGCGAAGATGAAGTCGTCTCTAATTCCTCGACTCCATCCTCACTCGGCTTAGGCGCTGAGTTGATCCTGTGACTCTTGCTTCGCAAAAGTATATTACGAAAAAACGACTTTTTATGTAGATACGTCAAAGATAGTGTTTTCGGGCGCGGCTCGTGAACCTGATCTTTCTCTGCTCCCGTGACGAGATTCCTGAGTGATCTGGAGCTCTTTGACCTTCTGAGCCTTTCGCCGTCGTGGGCGGTCACCCGTATTTCGGGTGGTGAGCTGTCCGTAGATTGTGAAGGACAGGCTATCGCAGACGAATCGATGTTGGTATCGGTCTTGATAGCATGTCCAGAAGGTTTCTCTGACCCAACGATTGGTATCCTCGTCGTATTGTTTACATCTTCCTCTGAAGGAAAAGAGTAGTCTGAGCTCGAACAGGACGAAGGTGTGACAACCGGGGAAGTCACGTTGAACCAATCTAGTGGTGATCCGTTTTCCCTGTCGGGTGTCACCGAGACTCGCATAGGAGTGTGACTATGGCGGCGTGCTGTTGCGGGTGAGCTGGGACCACCGAAGCGGAATGCAGCAAGGTTGACTTCAGCTGGATCCCAAGGGGTGGGTTCCGCATTGTCAAGTGAATCAGGCGAAGACGAAGCCACCTCATCAATACCAGCCTCCATGAGTTCAGACCTTTGATATCGTGTTGGTTTGTAGGTTCGCATTGTTGTCATTGGAAAGTGGCCTGACTGTGATGATGATCGATCAGAATCTTGATCCCTCTGGAATCTCCTTGCCTCACTGGCTTCTAATACGGCGGAAACCTTCCGAAATTGATAACCGGACGGACGGACGATCGGATTTTCGAAAGTACTCCTTCAAGGATGTATGGTGTGATAAAATTTGGGTAAGGAGGTCATATAATTCACGTAAGTATCAAAGACACACAAAGAGAATAAACCGCGTGAAAGTGAGAGACGAAAGCAAAGGGCGGCTGAAAGAAAGTCTTGGCATGTGTATACTGGAGCGAGTAGCTGGTCACTGCTCTCACTCTCATACCAAGGACGTTGAGAATCGCCAATGAAATAAAGACAGAACTTACGATGGAGATGGAATTTCGCACTCCACGCGGTCTTGAGGAATTTCTTGATTGCTGATTATGTCGTGATTTTTGATCACGGGAAAGGAATATCGACCGAGTCCAAACTTCAACGGAGACAAAAACGCATGAGTTATAAGATTCTCACCTTGATCACATTTCGTGAGAAAAACAGGAGTCAATATGAATAGAACATACCGGATCCCGTGAAGTATCAGAAGATCGAAGGTCATTGTTTGAAATCATCAGAGTCCCTCGCTGTCCCTCGCGATCCGAGCCCCAGTCATTGTTGCAGTTTTCAAAGCATTCAGCCGACAGACCAAGTCCAAGGGGTGGTGAGATGATGTGACTCATGATAAAGCAGTAAGCTCAAATCACTATCTATACACTGGTGTGTAATTTAGGTATTTTATGAATGTCGATGATCGAGAGCCCAGTCAGTAGTCTATAGATTCACTCAAGCAGCAAACCAACTTTATGAGTTTGATGACAACAGGAGAAAGTTAATAAGGGGGGTATGGATGATACTCACATGAAGATGAACTATTTTGGTTCAAAGTGTAAGTGAGATCCCTGAAAGAGTATCTTGATATCGATATCGACAAAAAGAAAAAGGAACACAATCGAATCTGTCTCACTCGACAACAATTAACAGCGAACCCATATATCCTATCAAAGGATCAGTGTCAGCAACCACCCATCAATAAAGAAGTCTTCTTTGCTAATTTTCTAATTAGGTACAATATATAAAGCTTATTGGACTTGGCTCAGCGAAAAGCACTCCAATCGGTTACTCGAAATACTATTTGAACTTCCCTTTGTATTCAAGCTTTCGTTTTGCTGCTTGATTCATTTCAGCGCATATATTGAACAATGGACTCTTTAGCCGATCGAGCTACGAGTCCGCGCCTATTTCCTCGTCCGGCACGATCTTTTGTGCTCACAATCTCAGATATTGAACAATGGACTCTTTAGCCGATCGAGCTACGAGTCCGCGCCTATTTCCTCGTCCGGCACGATCTTTTGTGCTCACAATCTCAGATATCCAATCTCATGCACAAGCTATCCTCGTCGGTTCTTTGCCATACAAGGCTAATTATGTACATACGGTTCTGTAGGATATACCCTATGTATACATTTCCAACACCCATGCGATGAACTCAGTAATTTTTTTTGAAAGGCTCCCCTCACTCTAAACTCAGCCAAGTCCCACGCTGCCTCTCACTCAGTCGTTTGCGCTTCCCGGGTCTCCAGATGCAATCTCGTTTTGGTCGTAGCCGAGATAGATCAGCTCATTTGAAGGTCCATCGACACACCAGCGAGCGAACATCGATTGTGAGGAATCCACAACGCGACCCGTCCCCGTGAAAGGTCCGGGTCAAAGGGGGAAGTATCATCACGCAGAAGCACAAACCTCGATGATGAGACCACAAGACTTTATATCCGAATGTATACCATGACGTGGCTCAGAGGGTGTCTCCGGACTTGTGTCAAGTTGAATCGATTGTGCATGTAATTTCTACCTCGTCAACACTTCCCTTTCCATGGGATGAGTATCTCGGTGTACTTGACCCATATCTACCTTAACACAACCACACTGGACCCTCACCCCTTTCGGAGGAGGCACTTTATCAAGGTAGGGCTCATGTGTGATGATTAGCTTTATATCTATCCAAAGCTCCTCGAGGTCCTAATATAGGAATTCTTTTTCAAAAGGAAATCTGCATATATAAGATAGTAAAAACGTAATTTGCTGCTAAGACAAAGCCCTCTGTGAGATGGGCTTTTGAAGTAGACCCACCTGATAACATGGTGTTATGTAGTGGAGGTGCAGAGCAATAATTATGACCAGAGCAAATGAATAGTGAAAGCGGGTTCTGGAAATCAGTGACATTTGTATGAAAAACATATCAAAAGACGAATGTCACAGATCTTTACACCTTGCAATTATCTTGGCTCATTTTTTTGATTTTTTGAACAAACGTTTTGCGTAAATCAAGATGTTGCGTCACATTCAAAACCAAGTCACCAAGCATACCCTCAGTGACGGTGAAGTCCTCGCGGTCGGCGGCTCAGACTCAGACTCCGATTCCTCGTCGTCCGAATCATCTTCCGAATCCTGCAGTAGTGATGCTGAGTCAACTTCCGAGCCGCAAGCAGTGCCTCAATCTCTTTTGCACGTGCTTGATCATCCGCTATGCTCTCTCAGCAAGCTACTTGGTCACAATAACGAGGATCCCGATAGTTCAGAACCAGAGGGCGAAAATGCATCTTCCGGCTCGGATGATGAAGAAGCTGGGGAAGCTGGGTTAAGTGGCTGCGTCATATGCCCCGGTAAACGGTTAAAAACAGATAATTTGGCTACACAGCATCTCAAAAGCAAAGTCAGACCGTTTCTCTTCAAGTCTGTTCTTCGAGGCAACTTACTAATCCCATACAAAACACCACCATTAGGCCCATCTCCGCAGGCTAGAGCGATATCGGGACTTCATCCACAATCCACCTCCTCATACCCTACTTTCACCTGATCCGATGGACGTGGTGGATCTTCTTGACAGTTTGACGGGGCCACCTCCTGTTTTACCACCTGGAACAAAATCTACCTCATCAAAGGGTAAACGGAAAAAAAGAGAAAAACGTCGAGCAAGGCGATTACTCTCTACTGAAAAACCATCGATGGGGAAATCCTCTGAAGTGAAAGTGGATTCTATCGCTGGGGAAGCTGCAAGATTAGCTGCTTCCACTCAACTCAAATCAGGAAATGTAAAATCGAAAAAAGCCTCAGATACAACCAAACGGAAACGGGCCCGCAAAAACGACAAACCTCAAAGTCAAGAATGAGGATCACGAGACATCAGCTCTGCATGGACTCTTCCTCTCACCTTCATACCCTGGTCAAATCCCGATACAGTCTCCAATTGTTTGCCCGTCTTCGTAATGAAGTGGCAATTTAGCGAGTAGGGAGAACCTGGAACTAGGCGCGCTATGTCACATATGATCAGCCACTTACGGGATGACATGATTCAAGAAAAGTATTGCTTTAACTTCCACTTTCCCCCTGCTTTAATAGAAATTTAGACTGCATAGTGTCTGTAAGATACTGTGATAGACCTGTGGGATTTCATCAGCTGGGTAATGATCTGCATCCTGTGGGATTTGTGGAAGGCTTGAGGTATCTTAAGTCTTTAAACAAG